AAAGATGAGACTTTAATGTGAATTATATATAAATAACCAGAAACAAAAATGGACCTTGTAGAACTTAAGTTTTACTTTTAAACTTAGAGGGTTCGAACGGATAAATTCCATTTGGACGGAATTTCAGGTCGCCTTCTGCTCTGCCACCATCTGCTTCTCAGCATCTGCCTCGTGCCTATTCTCTCCTCTTTCTTTTTTGTATACATGAATCGGTGTAATAGCAGGCTGCAGGGCGAAGGTTTAAGTGGGTCATTTTTTGTCGTGTCGATTGGGTCTGATTTTGATATAACTCATTTTCAAAATTGTTCGACGTTTATTATTTAGGGAATAGAAAAATTAAACCAAATCCGATATTTTCTATTTCAGCATTAAATTGCAGGCAAGTGTGGTGAAGAAGGGGCCGGCGCAGGAAACAGGCCTGCTTTATCTTCTTCCTGTCATCCCGAATACCTCGTGTTTAAGGGCGCGTAACGAACAGATTTAAGCAATTAGTACCTCGCACTGGAACAATAGGCATAACTATTTGTTTTTGTTTTATTGTTTTACTCGCGTTCATCCTAAGAATTTTGTTAAATAAAAGAAAATGTACATCAACTGGGCAGGCGTTGCAATATTTCAGACTTCGTATAGAAAGAGACAAATGTAGTAATGATTTGAGGTGGGGTAGATCAATTCACTTTTTGGAAAAGATAGTTCTTAACTATAACTACTTCTGTGAGTAGAACTGTCTATTTAAAAAAAAAGTGAAGGACAAATATACACTGGCTAAATTTAACGAAAATAAATTCATTACCTTTCAACATTAGTTACTGGTGATTAGGAACCATCTTAGTCAAAATAAACATTGAATAACGCTTTGTTTACTTCCTTTACTTTTGCACTTCTATACTGTCAGTACTTTCGTACTGACAAATCCCATTTGCACAAAAAGTGCATAAAGATCGCTTCCAGTTAATCTTTTTCCTTCGTTGATTTCATTTGATATTACACTTATCCTTAATCCTTTTTCAATGGCTCCAGTCAAGCATTTAAGCGAGTATGACAGTCTCAGGGTCATAACATTATTAGAGGAAGATACAGTCAGTGCGAAATCTCTAAACACTACAATAAGAAGGGTTCTTCGGCGCCTCAGAGAAACAGGGCTTCACACTGGGACAGGGCAGACCTAGGTCTACAGTCGAGAAAGACGATAGATTCATCCGTCATCAGGTTCTACGAAACCGCAGCATTACAAGAAATCTGATGACAAGTTGTATCGAATATTTCGATTTCCTCCAGGGCTGTAAGAAGAAGCTCGATAAAAATAACTTCAGGGGGTCCGGCAACCTGCTCGTGGACGTGTTCTTAACATCAAAAAATGGCTAGGCTTCAATTCGCACGGGATGATGTGAATTGGACATTGGAAGATTGGTGAAGAATTATCTTTACAGATGATGTGAGAATTGGCCTCAAATCTCAGATGGGCTTAATTTCATTCGAAGGCGCTCAGGAGAAAGATACGCCCCATGCTGTATGGTTGGTTCCTCAGGTGGTATTCCACGGTGGGTCAATGATGTTTTGGGGTGACATTTACTCGGGCAGCCGCACCGAATTAGTTGTTGTGTTGTGCTGTTAACTTCACAGAGGTACAGGACATAATCGAAGAATATGTACTGCCATTTGCCCCCATATCGGTGAGAGATTCTTGCTAATACAGGATAGTGCCAGGTCCCATAGATCACTATTGTGCATGACTACCTTAATAAAATTGGAATTGCGTAGTTGGTGTGGCCAGCTCGAAATACAGATTTGAACCCAATCGAACACATTTTGGACCAACTTAAGCCACGAGAACGACGGCGAAACCCAAGTCCTAACACCCTAGAAGAGTCGGAAACAGCTGTTCTTGATGAATGAGAAACAATTCCTCAGGAGTTTATTAGAAATCTCTTCCAAGGAATGCAATGGCTTTTAGCAGACGAGATTCATGCCAGAAGTGGAATACTCGATATTAACAGTGGAGAAAAGTTTTATTTTACATTTTTATTTATTTATTTTTCTTCGCTGAATTTTTTTTTTTACAATTAGGTAATAAATATTTTATTTTTAAATGTCTTATTATTACAACCAAACCTATTTTTGGTATGCAAAATATGAATAAACCTAAATAATTTAAGGGTTGTCCATTTATTTTGTCCATCAGTGTATTTAGTAGAATGCTTTCTGAATCCAGTTCTTATTTGAACCTTGGCATTTTTTATGACTTGGTAGTGCAAAATGCCACATACACGGAGACGGTAGTGGCCTTTCTATCAGGCAGAACAATTATGCTTGTCGCCCTACTTAACACACCGTTGAAAATCGTTTTGCCCAGTGAGGACAGTTAGGATAATGTTTTCCGTTTTGAGGGAGGGCTTGTTCGTAAAATAAATCACCAACTTCCAACTTCAACACCGCCTGTGTCAAAGGACTAGGTAGTAGGTAGCTTTTAAATAAAGGCAGAAAGGGGGTTTGAGTCGGGTTTTTCGAATATGACCTGTCGACCACTCGGTCAAAGACATGTGACCGTACGAAATTACGACTTTGAGGATTCGGAACCGAGTTTTTCGAGACCACACACGCACTCTGAGTGCACCTATTTAACTGTTATGGGCCTTTAACGTCCTATCGTTAAAAAATAAAATTTTCAGTCGGGTTTATATCAGGCGACTGTAAAGTTGAGTAAATGAACTGTTATTTTGACTGTACGTTTGGTGTCTCGTTGCCTCTTTGACCATAAACAGTTTTGGATCCCCAACTTCTGTATGCTTTGTAAATTATGTAGGGCTATTTTTTAACCCTTAATACTCGGTGTAGTTTCCTCTAAACTTACACGCACCATCAGATCGAAAAATGTTAAACTTTCAACTGATAAATTTTTTCTGTAGTTTTTTACTAGTTTTATCTCTTTAATTGAGGTTTTTATTACTCGTGAAAGATTTTTTTTCTGCCCGTTCTGCCTTTCTATCCATATTTCATGGAGGTGATTACAGATAGTTCGCGGCGTGACTTGTTTCCCAAAAGATGAACTGCGACTTCATGTGCGCACATTCTTGGATTTGTTTCATTTGTTGAAGCTTGTCGGACCAGTCCATGCGCTTTTCTCGTGAAACTTGCCTCGTTCTCCCAGATCGTCTTGCATTATATGTAAAAACCAGTCTTTTTATCACATAACGGCTGAACGGGAATGTTTAAGCCGCTTCTTTATTTAGCGAAAGCAATCCTTGCTGAAACAATGAGTCAGCTTTATCTTTTTGCGAAGAATTCGCCTTATTTTCGACCCATCTTTTAGATTTTAAATTGAATTGACAACTGATAGATAATCCTTATTATTCGTATGTTTGAATGTGTAACTCTATGTCTGATGTAATTACAGATCTAGGCAGCTTACTTTCGATTTATTTATATAGATTTTCCATCCTATCCAAAAATGTAATCATTGGATTTAATGAGATTCGATTTTTAACTAACTTAAAATTTCATAAATAATTATTTGGAGGTCGTGAAGTGCGGTCTGATGTGACCTAGGTTTTATAAAAACATTTTCTTCATCATGCCAACGTTTCGATCTTAAATTCACTAATTTCGTGGTCCGCTTGACCAATTAATACATGACAATTTACATTACAATTTTCATCTTAACTAAAAACCTTAATTAATTGTTTCGATCTTTATTGAGATCATCTTCAGGGCTCAAAGTGTTTATTTTCCGTTTAGATGTGTCATTCTTGTGAGTCGTGTTGAAAGTGCCCAGGTTTTAGAAAAACATTTTCTTTCCTTTTTAAAACGATAGTTCGTACTCACGGTAAGTTGTTTTGCAACGATCCGGATTTCGAGCTCTTAGCTCATCAGGTTGAAGGAGTTCGACAACCTGATGATGAGCTAAAAGCTCGAAATCCGGATCGTTGCAAAACAACTTACTGTGCGTACGAACTATCGTTTTAAAAAGAATTGAACACCTCACTCACTCCATCATTCATCATTTGTATAAATATTTTCTTTATCAGGCCAACGTTTCGATCTATATTGAGATCATCTTCAGTGCTCAATGTGTTTGTTTTCCGTATAAATGTGTCATTCTTTGAGCCCTGAAGATGATCTCAATAAAGATCGAAACGTTGGCATGATAAAGAAAATGTTTTTCTAAACCTATGTCACACCAGATCGCATCTCACGATCTCCAAATAATCATTGGCTAACGGTCACTAAACACCACACATTTCATAAATAATTGAAATAATTATTATGCTCAATTATGATCTCTAAACATATATGGATTAAAATGTTTATCCTGTTGTGGATGTTAATTATATTTATCTTTGTGTATCTATTTAACTTTATATTACGTAATTAAACATATATGTTTCAAATGATTTTAGGTAAGCGTCAATTCAACATACGTTATTTTATTACATTGAATCAGATTTTTTTTTGAGAACTGTCTTAATAATCTCGAAATTTGATCAATTTTCTTTTATTACAAAGGCAGAATTGTTTTATGAATCTAAGTCATTAAAACTGGATCAATCTGCGAGCTCAAAATGTGTGTTCTAGGCACGCACGGGCCATAAAACTTCCAATATCACTCATACAATGTATGTAGGATCATAAAGCCCGCGGGACTGGAGTCTTAAGAAAAAATTCTACCTGACTGGCAGCTGGCACACGACAGGAATTTATCTCCTGATCCTTTTGGCTCTTCCATCTGCCCGGATGTTGACCACATAATAAGATTAACAAATAACGAGCCTTACGCTAAATCACATATTTGAGCATGAACTTATGCTATTGGTTCATTTTTATTGGGTCAAATCAGATTGTCAGTTTGGTTTTGCAAGGGTCGCGTAAACTATATAATCAATTATGCTCTACTGGCAAAATAAATTACAAAACTATCTATTTCTTTAAATAAGCCTTCTTCTTACATTTTATCAAGAAATTCAATATTTATATTATGAGAATACACATAATAGTTATATATTGTAGGTTTATTATATAGAAATTCTAAAAGCATGTCTACTCTAATATTCAAAGATCTCAACAATTCATAAAATGCTCATAAAACAATCTTATCCCTCCATCTTGGAACAGACCAATCAGACAAAATATTCTGGCGATGGATTCTTCTTACCTGCTACTAATCTTTGTCCCTGCAATGAACGAGAATTGATGTAATTTTTACAAAATACATTTTCTAAACTGTACGTACAGAAGGAGCGGCATCAAATATTGTGAATGATTCATGGCCCTGCTCCATTTCTAATAGAGAAGCTACGTTCCCGCACCTAAGAAAGTTCTCTTAGTTTGGATACATATGTGAATTATTTTAAGATTGGCTTACCTGTAACAGTAGTTCGGAGCTGACCAGACTGTCACAACTGTATTCCTAAAATGCCACTTGTAGCCTTCAAGAACCAACTGATGAGCCCTTGCAATGTAGTCAACAGAATTGACCATCCTGAACTTGTCTACGACATCGGATCCGTACAAATATCCTGCACCTCTTGGTGAAACTCCCCAACCGTTGAGTTCTAAATGTTTAAAAAAATTATATATTTGCAGGTTAAAATATTTAACCTACTGACCTTCTGGGTCAGACCAGAGGAGATCGCACATTGCACCATGATGTGGTACTTCCTGAAATCTATCTATCATCTTAATATCATCCAAAAGATCAATATTGGGAGATAAACCACCGTGGATGCAAAACACCTGCAAGCCACTGCTTGGTAAAGAATTATTAAATTACTTGTAATCGTTACAAACTAATTTGTCTGATTGGGTCGAGATTTACCTTTCCGTCCACTATTGCGGCAAGAGAAAGCATGTTGAATGTTTCAACGCAGTACCTCCAAACTGTTATGCTTCCATATTTTCTGAGACATTCATCATAAAATCCATAGACTTGTGTGATCTCTCTCGATTCATGATTCCCTCGAAGAAGATAGATTCTAGTAGGATATCTGACCTAAAATTTCAAAATTCAAATCACATATTAATGAAATATGTAATCATGTTAGCCTGAAAATTTGTACAAAATGTTGAGATCCTGAGAGTGCTTTTATTAGCCTCTTCTACAAAACCAGTCGGGCAAATTTAAAATACTTCTAACACACCTAACATTTAACTGTAATACAAACATTGTTTAAAAACAATTACCTTCAATGCCATCATGAGTAGATAAGTCTCAATGCTGTTGTAGCCCCTGTCGACATAATCACCAAGAAATAGGTATGTGGTATATGGTATCAATCCTCCTACCGTGAACAGCTCAACCAAATCAGGGAGCTGACCATGGATATCCCCACATACCTTAGAAAAAATTAATTGCAGCCATCCAAAATCACAAGTTATGCTTACCACTCCAAACTTTCGCCCCGAGTGAAGAACTTACTGTTATTGGTGTAGACAGAACAACCAAGTTGCTATCCTTAATCGTCAGCTCTTTGAATTTGTTGCACAACTCTTTCACTTGATTTTCAGGCAATTTTTCACATTTGAACAATTTTTCAATCTGTTCGTCAAGATTTGCAGCCACCATTTTCCTACTGTATGCTTCTTGTTGTTTTTAAACAATAGAACTACTGCATTAACAAAATTCTACTAATGGGTACACTTTCATAATATTTAAACACCTGTTTTATTGTATAGTGGTTACAATTAAATATATGTGTGATTATATATGTTTTATTTTATAATTCTAGTATTAAATTCCATTTCAGCAAAACTAATTAAAATATTGATTGATTTAAGATCAATTAAAAGATCAACTCTGTACACACATGCCTATATACTGATTGTGATTTCTTGCAGCAAGCTGAGGATTTTTCACCATCAATTAAGCAAATGACCTTGGCCATTAAACAACAAGTAAAACCACACTAAGGCCCCTTACAAAAGGAAATAAGATAGGCTAAAATGTGTCAACTCTAACAAATAAATATACAGGCTTTTACAAGCTGATTTGTATGGTGGCCGTAATAAACACTGTAAAATGGGACATAAAGATAGTAAGACAAACACTGCAAAGATTGAACTGTCTTAATGGCGAGTTTAATAGCAGTGATTAAACAGGCAGAGCCACCTGTGGAAATGCGTTTAAAAGATGTAACAGAAAATTGCAGACATTTGGGTAATCGTGAAATACAGTCATAGCTGACAGAAAATTGCATGATATTAGACAAAAGACATTTAATTAACTGAGATATTTGCAAAGGTTTTTAGGGAAAACTAAAGAATTTTGACAGATTCTTCAACACTATTCAACAACTATGAGATTTTTGGAAGAATAAAATTTCAAAATTTAAAATGGGTGCTTTAGTGTTGTACCCAGATTGTTAAAAAAAAAATAGAATAAAGTGTGGAGATGTAAAACTGTAATCAGAACAACTTTCTGACTGGCAAAAGCATAAAGCGTTTCCAAGCTGAGGTCTATGCAAGTGAACTCTGGGCAGTGGAATTACTAAAAAATATTAAAAAAGAATTAAAAAAATATTAAGAATAAAATATTTAAAAAATATTACATTATTAAAAGATGACCAGATATACTCTCAGACAGCCAGATCTTAATAATGTACAATACTTTTTGTTTATGTACCTTCAGCTCCAAACTGTCTGATATGATCTAACCAATCTACAATACTTGTGTATAAGGTGAAATTAATGTGTGTACCAGGACATGAGTGGATTGAAGGAAATGAACTACATAAAGTTGCGAAAAAAAGCTGAATGATTCACACCCATTGGACCTGAACCACAATTAAGCACACCACACTGCGTGTTGAAAGTGAAACTGATCAAATGGCCGGATTCATTCTATAACCTTTATTTTATGTTTTTTATTCACCTATAAACTTGTTTACATTACTACTTGTTTTATGTTTACTTGTTAGTTGAAAATATTGCAATTTTTGAAATTGTTCTTCTTGTGTTTTTAGAAATCTCTTTAGAAATCTTTCACTTTTTTATAGTTTCATTACTATTTACTAGATTATTCATTAGTAAATAATGTTAGTATAAATATAGTTTGAGATTTCAATTGATAGTTTGGTTGGGTCACTAGTGGCTCAAGTTCAAAAATTTGAAAATAAACTTAACTATTCAATTCTAAGCATTACAGACAATTTCTGACTAGAATTTGGGAAGAAGATTTTATTATGTTTTACTATTATTATTTATAAAACTTAATTTATTTCTAACATAAATACATGTAAGGAGGCATAAAGTCCTATTTGTATCTTTAATATAAATAAATAATAAATATTTTCTTTTTAACTTCTTTTTAATATTTTTACAACCAAACCTATTTTTGGTATGCAAAATATGAATAAACCTAGATACATTGAAATTTAAGGGTAGTGTCTTAAATTTAGACTGAAGGAAAGAAATCTTGCACGCGGAACTCTCATTCGAATATTAGCAGACAGACTTTCAAAAGTATAAGAATTTGGGAAGTATATTTTATTTGGTTGTGCACCCAAGAACGAGCCAAAGCGTCGATGTCAATTTTGTTGTAAGGTATCAATTGACAATTCTCTCTTTGGTGGCGGATACCGGGATCGTTCTTTGAGATGATATTCTTGAGTGGTGAGCGGCGACATTTTTGAAGGAGGGCGGTGAGATTGTTTCCTGGGGTTTCTCCCGCCAATCCTAGGTAAACGGTCTCCAGGTCAAAATTGAGGGCGCCACTTGTTGATCGGCTTGGGTTTCGACAGATCCAAATTCGAAATTTCCTAATCCTCCGCCCCTTTCACCGAGTGCGGCCGCTCGACGTTTATCGCCACTCGCCAGGAGGCCGCCGGAGCGTTTGAAGCGGAGGGCCGACGACCCGGGAGACGAGGACCGATCAAGGCGGAGGTTGGTATTCACGTCCATTGTTCAGTCTCCAAGATGGAGTAAATCGAGAGTCGGCCTCCCGAAAATTGACTCCGTCTTCTTTTCTGCCCCGTTTGAATGGTAAGTCGAGATTCGATACCGGAATCGGTCCGGCGTCTCCGCGGAGGCGAGTCTACAACGCCCGGCGGACCCAAACTCTTCCTGTCATTGTCAAGGATCGGTAACTCATTCCTTCGCGCCGTTTGTGTGTTTGTTTGTTTGGCCCGACAATTGTTTATCTCGCTTCTCTTTATAACATCGGTTCTCGTCGGAAACTCAACCGGTTTACACTCAGTTTTTTGTTTATTCGGTTTACACTCATCTTCCACTGAAAACATCTTGGCCGGATTGACTTCCACCCATGAAGATCAAAATAATGTAATTCCCCCAATAACGTATTTTTCGTTCTAAAACCGCTTCCCTTTTCAAGTGTATCGCATGTCACATGACTTAAATAATCTTCCTAATTTGTACATTTTGTATAGTATACAGAAAAAATATAAATCTTTATTTAGTCAACTCTTAAGCGAAAATGTTAAAACCAGGACACTTAATTCTCCATTTACATGAACAATTGAACAACAACAACAGTAAGAACATGACAAATTTAAATGTAATAAAGAATCCATTTTGTTTAATGACTATTAATTATTTCAATTAATTATTCTTTTTATATAAGGTCTTGGTTGAGATGAAAAAGTTAGTGACACGAGCGAGATTCGAACCCATGATCTTTGGCTCAATATGCCGCTGCTCGAACCACTTGAGATATCGTGACTTCGATCCACTCGGACACCGAGAATCGAATTCTGATTACACAGCATTTGAAAAATGGCAAAAAGTGGTAAAATGCGAAAGGTAGGTTGAGATGAGGAGTTGGTGTGAGTGGATCAAAGTCATTGTAGCTCAAATAGAGCAGCATCGTAGTTAGCCGAAGATCATGGATTCAAATTCGCTCGTGACACTGACTTTTTCATCTCAACCAAGACCTTACATAAAGTGAATAATTAATTGAGTAATAAACAATAGTTTTTAATTATTTCATCATTCAAATGTAGCTTCTAACAGTCCTGAAAGATCCAATTTCTTTTATTAATTTTATCATTTAACCATGTTGCAAAAGTTCCACTGTAGGAGTGTGTAATACAGCTATTGGTTCAGACTCGGCAATTTTGTAGCTATTAAAAGCAACTCGAGTCTGTCAGGAGCACGAGCTACAAAACTGAAGTTTCCGACTTGTGCCAAATTGCAAACGTTAAGGGATTTTATGTCTATTTGTTAAATGTTCATGTTGAAGAACTGTAGTCAGAAGTATGACTATTGCTTATTATTTAACTTTGTATCTACTCTATCTTCCCTCTGCATCGAGCCTTATTAATCTATCTTCCCTCAAGCTTAAAATATATTAATGTGTCATTAAAATTGAAATAAATGTGTAAAGTACGTTGTGTTTGATGACAGTAAAGACGAACCTAGTAGTGTCATTTTAGTACATTCCGGTTCACTTATCCAGTCCTCTGGTCTGTCGATGGTGGGTTTGATAAGGATGTACTTATAAATAAGAAGACCAAATGACCCTTCTAACGGACCAAAATGAAAGATAGATGAGAATGATTTGAAATAATCAAGCTAGAAATTAAATAGAAAATTCAGCTCTAGTAAATGTAATGTTCAAGGTGTACTCTGCACCATTTGAGAGCTATTGTATCCCCATTCTGTACTTACAGCACATTGGTGAGTCCTAGTTCATCAAGAAATTAGATCCAGTTTCAGTGGTTGAATTCATTCTACAGTTGTACTGCCGAAAACACTTCCTGCAAATATGGCACTTCGGTTTGTTAGTTGGTGTGTTTAATCTGCACATGTCGTGTTATACCAATCTTCTTCAGATTATCGCCCATTCAGTCTGCAGTGTCCTGTTAAGAATCTTTTTAGGATTCAAAGTTTTTCCTGATACCTTTGAAGCATTTTGTTTTTCCTTCCTTCCAAAATTTCTTGGATTATTTATGTACAATGAGTGAATTCCACCGTTTCCTCATTTTCATGTTGTCTTTTTGTCTAATGTGTACTCATTGATAGTGTGAATCCCAAAGGGCTAAGGACCTATCATTGGTATGGCAGCAAAAGAAAGCTCCTCATTTTGCATCAATCTATCCTTGCAAGGGTTGTTGTTTTCTACATATCCTGAGTACCAACAGAAAGTGGCCCACATTTGGGGTATAATTTTATGAGATTTCTGTGGAGAAAGATTTAACTCATGCATTTCCGATCAATTTTGTCTTTGTAACCTAGCTGTTTCGGTCTGTCAGATGCATTTCACCTTTTTGCCATAATACAAGCCCACCACTAAACTGGCAAAAAATTGTTACAGAAAATTTGAAACTTGATCATCTTTGATTTCCAGGTCAGGATCGGTTGGTCTGTTAAATACTTACAGTATAAACACACAAACCAACCAACCACTGTCACATATTTCTACCATGCCTGTAAGTTTAAATGATTTGAGATGAGCGAGCTGTAAGTTCAGTTGTTTTGGCTTGTCCAAAGTGTTTAGCATGTCACCATATTCGGTGATGGATTTGAACAAAAATAAAACAGACCGAAATAGACATTCGTCACACTGCAGACTTCAACCAGTCTCACAGTATGGTAAAGATATCAAACACATCATTTTAAAGTATAACTCAGCAGTAAGAGAGTATTTGTTAGAGTCTCTTTTGCTTTATAGAATTGATCTCAATAGTCATCTTGTTGTTGTTGTTCTTCTTCTTCTTGGATTGCCTCTTCACTACTTACAATCCATATTTTCTACAAAATCTGATAGGCTACATTTCTATTCTGCCAAAAAAATTGAGGGTTTCTTTTGAATTCACAGTGTCTTCAGTTAGCCCTTGCTTCTCTCTATAAAAATAAATCAATCCAAAACCGTCTTTGAACTGGTGTTCGAAATCAGTTCCTTGACGACTGTTGGACAAACTGACTTTATTTTTGAAGCCTCTCTTCAAATTCAATTGATCGCATTAAATGTTTCTCCATTGTGTGTACTTTTATGGGAAAGAACTTTGTACTATTGAGTTATTTGATTTTGGGACCCTGTTATCTTGAGTTCAAACAGATCCTTCCTTTAATGACGGGACTTCATATTTGAGCAATATTTCTTTATATTTTTTAAAGCAAATCTTATAGGAATATGGCCTTCCAGGTGCAAATGTGTGGTACTTGACTTAGTATAGGTGTTTTTTCTACCAAATCACCAAGATCTAACAAAGGTTCACAAGTCTGATTATTTTTATACAGTTGAAGAAAGTGTTATTTTCCAATTTTAACTTAAGATAAAATTTCTACATGATAAAATCATCAAAGCTCGGCATACCTGCTTTTGTAACAACAACATTGCAAGGTTAATTTAATTTTGACTTCTCCCTTTAGAATTTATAGTTTTTCCTTTGTCAATACATTGTTACAAAAATAGAGTTTGCGGGTTTCTCCAGACATTTGGAAGTTCAATAAAGTAATCCCTACCTTTCACTTTTATGGGTTGGACAACAAAGCAAGTTAATCTTTTTTTTGGAGGGTGAAAGGAGGCTTTTTATAAACCAATAATACTTTAGAACTGCTTATTGAAAGTACAATTCCCTTTTTCTGTTCAATTTTTATAGTTTTGAGAGGTATTGCAATTAAACTAGTTCTGAGGGGGATAAAGTTTGAAAAACATCAATGGAACAGCAGTACAGTTGTTTTATATTTGGTAAAGTAATTCTTATGCACAATATATTACAAATTGTACAATTAAATGGGTACATTTTATTGGGCTAAATGTATAAATTGTTCTTACCTTATAAAAAAAGAACATCAATTTAAAAATTACAGAACACTCATTTTAATTCATCACTAATATAATTTTGTTTTTTGCTTGAATTTCAGACGTGTTGCAGACAGTACAAGCAACAAAATCATCCAAACTGGGTGCGATGGCGAGGGGTAGAAGGACCAAAGCGGCCCCTTGTACTAGGAATGGGGAGAATCGACTCAAAAGGAGAAATTTGAAGACGGAGTTTCAAGGGAAACTTTCTCACACGAGCCCAAACGGTAAAATAACATCTTATTTTGAAGGTGGTGAGAAAGAGGCCGAATTGAGTTTGTTACGACTGTCACCGAGGAAGCATGCATCGACCGCTTCCATCTTACAGCAGACCAACGGGTTCATAACGACGAGCCCCCATAGAATAGAGATTAAGACAGAAGCCCTACCTGAAGAGAAATTAGAGAGAGCCCAAACTAATGTCGACAAACCTCCGTTGGTGGAGTGCAAGACCGGGAAGCTAACAGACTATTTCCCGGTTAGACGGAGCGAAAGAAAAACTAAAAAGACTGTGCTAGAGGAAAGACAGAAAAACATTGAGGAGGCTGTGCTATCGAAAAGAGAGGATGGTCTCGAGGTTCACATGTTTCCTGGAAAGGGGAGGGGAATCGTAGCCAAAAGGAACTTCCTCAGAGGTGATTTTGTAGTCGAATACGCCGGAGAGCTTATTTCGCTTGAAGAGGCCAAAATTAGGGAAGCCATTTATTCACAAGACCAAAACACAGGATGTTACATGTATTACTTTATGTACAAAAACACCCAATTCTGCGTTGATGCAACTATAGAATCGAGTAGGCTTGGGCGCCTGGTGAACCATTCTAGAAATGGTAATCTTGTAACTAAAACTATTTACGTTGGAGGCAAGCCAAGGCTTGTACTCATAGCAAAAGAAGACATAAAAGTTGGTGACGAACTTACTTACGACTATGGAGATAGGAGTAAAGAATCGTTAAAATACCATCCTTGGTTAGCCCTTTAAGTATTAATTTGATCTGACAACTGTTTTTAACTTTTACGGCTCTTCCCAGAGGTTAAAACTGAATTTTTAAAATGAATGTACAAACTCAACTTATGGTCTCTTTAGGTAAAATATAAGAAATCTGATGTACAGTAATAATTGTTAACTTTCATTCGACAGAGCAGTTGTTACTAGTGTTGATTTATTAAGACTGTTAAAACAATTATTCAAATCATCTTGTAAATTACTGATGTAATATATTTAAATCTAGTTGAAATTTTAGAATTAAAACTATTTTATTATCACAAAGATTGTTCCTGATTAAAAACTTCTTATGTGAATATTAAGTAAATTGTTTTAGTTGTGTTAGCCTTAACCTTTATTTTTAAAATTGCACAAATCAACCTCTATGAATTATGTACACTTGACTATTCCTAGATGTAATTTGTTTAATGATAACAGCCATATTTATTATATTTATATTAAATAAAGTGTCCTAAATATCAATTTTGTTTTTATACTATCTCAGGTTTCACACTTTATGGAGTTTATGATTATTTGGAGATCACGAGATGCGGTCTGGTGTGACGTAGGTTTTAGAAAAACATTTTCTTTATCGTACCAACGTTTCGATCTTTATTGAGACCATCTTCAGGGTCTGGGATTTATAAACATTGTTTAAATTTTACAAATACATGTAGGATGTGAAAAAAATGAATTTATACAATGCTAGAAATTTTAGGTGAAAGAAGCAGACTCATAGAAAAATGGATTTCTATCCCTACTTCCTTCCTCACTCCTTCAAAAATACAAAAAAAAAATAATATGTCTGTCGACAAGTCTCAACATGACACACAAGAATGACACATCTACACAGAAAACAAACACTGTGAGTGAGTACAAATACTTTGATTGAATCCTAAAATTTATAGTATTGTATAAATTCATTTTTTCACATCCTACATGTATTTGTAAAATTTAAACATTGTTTACAAAAACCAGGCCCTGAAGATGATCTCAATAAAGATCGAAACATCAGCACGATAAAGAAAATGTTGTCACACCAGACCGCAGCTAACGATTCCAAATAATCGGTAACTAATGGTCACTAAACACCACACACAACTTTATGGAGTTTTTTTCCAGCCAAAAATGTGAAAATATAAATGAGGTGACTTACATTTGATACAGCGTTTATTATTATTTAATGTTTGTTGCATGTTTTGGGAAGTAACTATTCCTCTCTTATTACAATCTTTTTGGAAAAGATTATTTTCCAAAGAGCGAATTGCCATACTCACCCTACCTCAAATAATTTCTATCTGTATCATATAGTTTTAGTTATATAATCCAAATTTTCACCCTTGGGCTATGTTCAGGGTTGGGGATTGTCTTGTTGCGTATCAATCCAACATTTGTCATTATTGATCCTGACTGTGATTCTGATCTTTAGAACTTATCACAACATTTATTAATTAATGTTCCTTGGCACCCAACAGATTATAGTCAAATTGAATTTTTGTACTAGTTTGTCTTGATTGTAAATCTGTAGATGGAAAGCGTGATTTGCTTCTAGACTTCTAGATAGATGTACCTTCAAAAAGAAGAGACGAAAAAATTCAGACCAATTACTGAAGTTGGTGAAATACTGAAAAGCGTCTGACTGTAAAACCAGTGAAAATAGGTACAATAATACACTACAGGTGTATTAATATTTTTATACATTTTGTATTAGATGTTCTATATTTTTTTGTATAAATATCTTATACATCTTAAACTGACGTTGAGGTTTACTTAGTTGCAATTTCATTTCAATTAATTTTCTTAAACCATTGGACTTTTTTTTATAGTTTTTGTTATTAAATTTTAGTGACAATAAAACAATTCTTTTCCACTCTTTCCTGTATTGAGGTCGCTCCACACAGGTTCTTAATTTATCCCAGTTGTGTAGGCACCCTCTGCTTCTTTGCAGTCTTTGTTTCAGACATTTTTTAGACCAGTTCTCAGCAGTCAGCATCTTGTGGCAATGATATTCTTGAACCGTCTACTTCATTACACGTTCTTTTACCCACAGGCTTTCCTGGTTAAGCATTTATCCATACCATACAACTAACAGTGACCTGCAATTTCTATACTGTTTTCAGCCTATGTCTCGCAGCCATATGTTTATATTGGTAATACTGTAATGACCCATAGTCTGGTCTTCAGCAGAACATCAGCTTCCAAAATAAAGGAGTTTTTGTTCCAATTAAATTGGTAGTGTTATTTCTGGCAATTATGAATGCTTATTTTGTGTCTGAGATAGATCAATTCTTCCTAAATTCATTACTCAGCTGCAGCCCATTCCCTCGAGAAATAACTTTTCCTGCCAGTCGTTAAACAATTCAGTCTGAAACATATGAGTTTTTCTACCGGCTCTAGTATTTTATTACTAATAAAAATCATTACCTTATAAAGCTTGTATAGATGGATGGACAATAGACAAGAACTACTAGATTAGTGAATTAAAATCAAATAAAAATGATGAGAACTTTTGAAATGATTTTTTTTTTAGTTTCTTCACAAAAACAAAATTTTAAAATGTTATAAAAGTTTATTCATTGCCTTAAATTATTAAAATGTACAAAAATTAACATTATGAACATTAATGGTGTTTCCTTTGTACAAAGTCCTTTCTCTGTTGATCTAGGATATTTTCTAGTTGGTTGCACTGCTCAAGAGCCGCATCCCGCTGTTTCTGTACCAACCGAATTGTCTCTTCTTTTTTCGATATCGCCTCTTTGACTCTACAAGTTGCAAAACATAATGTTGGGGGTTTTAATGTTGGGATAAAAGTTAAGCTGACCTCTTGTAAACTTGCTGAAGCTCCTTTTCTTTCTCGGCTTGCAAAGACGCTAGCATTTCCTCTTTTCGAAACCTCTCGTCGGCGAGCTCTTTTTGAAGGGCTGTGATTTGTGAAGAGACCTCACTCCTTGCTATTGCACTCTTTTCACTCGCTTCCCTCTCTACCATTTCCAGTTTCTGCATTGAAATTAATTGTTATGCCATAAAAATAAAATTAAAGTTAAACATTACAGTGCAGAATGACTTTCTAAGAAACTGACCTGCCTCGCTGTTGTTAGCTGAAATTCCAAATGGTTTATTTGGCTTTTAAGTTTTCCAAACATTTCTTCATTTTGTTGATTTTCGTTTCTAGTCTCTTTAAGCTTCTTTCGCAAATCGGCTTGGATCGCCTCTGCATCTTTTAGATCCGCTTCGTACTGTTCCTTAACTTTCCTGGTTCAAAAAATACATTTTATTATATCGTACGAATATATAATTAATTTATACCAACATAAGTTTTGATTCGACTATTTTTTCTTTTTCTTGGGCCTCTTGATCCAACTTTCGTATGACTGCGTCGATATGTCTGTCTCGTTCTTTCTTGCACTGTTCCCTTATCTGCTGTTCTTTTTCAGCAAGCGTGCTCGTCTGGTGGTTCAGCCAAGATTGCCTCTCTGCTTCAATCATATCTCTCATACTTTTCAGCTCAGCCTACGAGAAAATCAATTAACATTATAAGACTGAATATTAGTTTAAAGATGGCAGAGTATAAACAAAATCACTTCATGCTTTTCCTGTTGTATTGCTAACTTCTCGTCCAATTCTTGCTTAGCTTGTTGCCATTTTTCTTCAAGCTGCTTGGATTTTGCCAAGAGGCTCGCTTCGGATTCCCTGCCGACTCTTTCTTTTTCATCTCTTACTTCTGCCATGAGCCTTCGCCTTTGGTCTTGATAACTTCTTTCAACTTCACTTAGTTCATGTTCCAGCCTATAATAATATATAATATAGAAATAAAAAATATCTAGTATAAAAAGTAGGCAAACTTGAAAGAAAAAAAAAGCATGAACAATGCTAATTCCTTGAAATACTTTCCAACTTTCTATTAAAATGTGTGGTGATTAGTGACCGCTAATCGATATTTATTTAGAAATCGTGAGATGCGTTTCTAGTAAAAACTAATATTGAATTTAATTTAACATAAATATAAAGTGTTTTAATTATAAATTTTGTTGTTATACTACATAATCCAAAATTTAACACAAGGGGTGAGAATGGCTCGGATTGCTCTTATATACTTGCAGAAATGAAAATTATCCTTACTTTTTCCTAGCAGCTTCCCTTTCTTCAGTCACGGCCTGCTCTCTGTCTCGAAGAGACTGTTCTCTCGCTGCGTTCACTCTACGTGAGCAGCTCGCTTCCATTTCAGCGAGTTCTTTTTCATGGGCTCTTCTAATTTCAGCTAGTTCTTCTTGATGGGTCCTAGTCATCCGTTCCAGTTCTGGCTCCAAGCCTTTCACCGTCTGTTCCTATTTAATAAAGAATATTCAACATTTGCCACATGTTAGTGTTAAGTCGTGTTACTTTGATTTTTTTTGTTTTCTCCTCGAGCCACTTCTCCCTTCTAATTTTTTCTGCAGCGAGCATTTTTTCTTGTAGCTTTTTTAGCTCTATGTTGTGCCTTTCATCAATGGCTTGAAGGGCTTTTGAATGCTTGCCTTCCATCTCTTTTACCAAACTGGCGCATTGATCAGCTAAAAGTCTTTTCTCTGTAAGAAGCTGCAGTGCCCAAAATGTTTTATTTTTAACATTTATATTTTTTAATTAGTTACTCTGAAATATTACCTGATCTATGAACTTCTGGTGTCTCTTCACAGTTGCATCAGAGTCCAGTTTGTTTTTAGCCTGTTTTTCCTCTATTTCTTTCAGTCTCTCAGTCGTGCTGTGCAAAATTGACTCCCTTTCTTCAAGCTCTAGGGTCATAGCCATCACTCTTTTTGCCAGTTCAGCAGAATCGAGAGCCATCAATTGCGCCATCCTTCCTGTTCCGATCGGGATCGCTGGTTTGGGCGGTTCACTACAATTCCTAAATTGACAAGTCTGTTTTTGCAATTTGTAAATTTGTATTACTTACTAGGGAGGTGAATCATTTTTAGCCTCTTGAACCGGTGGTGCAGTATGGTGAAACTCATTTCTAGAATCACTTCTGTCAAGTTCATCGAGGAATGTCAAAATATCTCTGAAATTTTATAGAAAAAATAATTTTATTTTAGCCGTGGAAAGTCAGGATACGTACTTTGCGCCGACAGCAGGTGCCATGCTGCAAGCAGAGTTGTTTCCACTCCGACTGGAAGAAACTGCATCAAGTTTTACTGGAACAATTTTATTGATTATACCAAGTTAGATTAAACAGAAATACATTATACCTACATATAAAAATTATATTTTGTTTGCTTTGTGAATATTGATGATCCTGTAACTTGATTTTCTCTGATCATTTTTGTTTACCTAACAAACTCACTGGTTTAGCTTGTCAGATAAGCACTTTACCATCGTCGGTCTATAAAGTATTTACAAAAAGGACAAACAAATGGGAAAAAAAGATTTAATTTTTATGACATTTGTGATACTCCATTAAGTGCTGTGATATTACTATAATTTTTGGTCTGTGAATGTACATAATCTTCTTTATTTATTTATTAACTTACTTGGGCCCTCAAAATATATTTTGTGTTTTGTGGATGATCAGAGATGATCAAGCTACAAGCTATATTTTATTTTTAATTACACAATAAATTATTTGTGCTTAAAAATATTTTAAAAGCTTGTTTTTATAATTTAATTAACTTACTAGATTCAACTTCTTCTTTTTCTAATACTTTCAGCATATTCAAAATATCATTGTACGTTGATCCGACTGCATTGTTGACACCTTGCTGAAATAAATATATATATGTTTTGCAACCATTTTTTATTTATTTATTTACTTTTAAAAAAAAGAAAAGAAAATGAATTTATACGTTTTTTCCCATCCATGTTAAAATGTCTTCGGTGTTCAACCCGTTTTCTCCATTTTTAGGCAGTTCATGATTGTTCAAATGTTGATCATTGCATTTGTTCAAGCCCACTTCGCTAGTATCACCCAAATAGTTCAAAACGCAAGCTGCATTCTCATCTTCGAGAACTTTCTCAAGGCCGACGGCGTGTTCAGGTCCGATGCTTCGGTTTTCTGTCATTAAATGGGCGATCACTTTAGATGGCATTTTGCAATTTTCAATCATCGATATCATTTCTTTCTCATAGTTTTCATTTCCGTTATTGACAGAGAAGTCTACCCTAGCAGCGTTGTTTTGACAGTCTTCTGTGTTGTAGTATTTGTTCAATGTCTGACCCACTTTTGACATGAGAATCTCTGATGTCCCGTTGCATTTGTTCGTTACTGATTTCCTCGAAGAGTGTTCGGGTGAAACTGGCACATCATCGCTTTCAACAATCGTCTCCATCGTTTGACTTCTTGAAATTTTTTTAGAAGGCATATCTATTCTCGGCCCTTCGTAAGCGTCAAACTTAAAATTATCAAATTCTAGAATTTTCGTTTCTTCATTTGGATTATTTTGGGGCAACCTTGTAAGATTCTCAGTTGAATGTGAGGGAGCGTGTCTCGGTTGTTGTAGGTTCTCTTCTGTCGGAAATATTTCGTTATCCAAGTTTTCTTTTACCTTTGTAGGGCTGTTTAATTCAGTATAATTCAAACCGTTGCAATTTGCATAGGGAGATTTTTGAATCACAGACTCTGGAAACCACCTCTGAAATTTTATATTTATAATATCATCCATTGACTTATGAGGCTTTTTCGGATTTCCTCCGACTGGAGGTATTGGTGGCTTCGCCACAAGCCCTGGCTCGAGCTTGCCAGATCTAAGCACTTCAGTGAGACTAGGAACAGGACTCGGAGTCACTGATGTTTCCGAATCTAAATTATCTTCAAACGAACTACTCGCCAGAAGATTACCCATTGAACCACCATTTTTCCCTGGAAAAAAAAAAATTAAGTTAATTATTATACTTAATAAATAGCTTTATTGTATGTTTACTAGGGTTTTTGTGAAGTTTTCTATCAGTCCTTTCAAATTTGGCTGCCAATTTACTTCTGTGAGTGCCCCGGGACAAATGATCTGCAGATTGTGGCCTTGTCCACGGTGGTGTTTTTCTGTGCTTCTCCTGCTGAAATTATAGCCAAATTTAATTTGCATTAATAATTTTAAGACAAGCAACACTTTCTATATAATAAAATAACTCTTAATGATAAATAAAGTATAAATAATTAAACAAAGACTGGATGTGAATTGCTATTTTTGGCAAATAATTTTGATCGTTACTATTCTACCATTTACATTTGACATGTTTTCTTTGTCATAAAAATCCATCATCACATCTTAAAGAAATTGACCAATAGTGCATAGTTAATAAGGCAGGTATTAAATCTCAATTAATAAAAAAGAAGTTATAATAAAAGCAGTTCAGACAACCAATTGGATGAATGATAACGTTTGGTTTGCAAGAGTGATTGAAGAAGTGCAGACTGCTTAAAACAACTCAATATAAAAACAGGCAATTATGGATTCAAGAGAAAAATGAAATAAATTTTCAATATACCATTTGTAAACCTTCGGCATCGTTTTATTCACTCATAACCCCAAAAAAATGTATCATAAAATCAATTCACAATATATGCCCAAAATGGCATGTAGATATATCTTGCTGTAACAAATCCCATTTAAAAAATGTCATTGCATGATTTGAAATCGTTTTTAAATACTTTTGAAAACACACAGTTATTACAATTGCACTTTCAAAGAAATATATGTATATCTGTTAGTCTTAAGGAAAGCCGGCCACCTGATAGGCAGAATATACTTTCTAAATATTTACTCAAGAATAATAAATGATATATATTTTAAAAACATGCCAATTTTATTTGTTGTTTTAATACTACAAGAAAAATGTTCGAACAATACAAAAATTAAAAAATGTAATAATTGCATAAAAATATTTTTACACTGTATTTAGGAACATATAAGCAACACATGAAAGTTAAACAATATAAAATATTTTTAATCATATGGTTTAGAATGAAACAAGTAAATATAAAAAAAATTACCTGATGGAAAAGAGTCGGTGTAGCAGACATCGGTCTTAATGCAGTGTCAATTCTCGAAGAGGACCGCGAACAAGGTGGACTTGGCCTAGACTTCAAAGTGATCTGTGATTAAAAAGTAAACAAATAAAGCTTAATGATGCTTTGTCGTTTTCAAACTAGATTCTCAAACCTCACCTGCTTCCCTAAAACGCTAAAATCTAAAATACTGTTTTTCTCGTTCTGCTTACTTTCTTTATTAGAGGCTAATGGCATTTTACAGACATTTACATCTCTGCGAACCGCTCCATCTGTGCTTTTTTGGTCAGTACCAGGACGATGATCGCCTTTTTACCAGTACCTCGTATTGTTGATGTATTCTGTGTTGTGTCAACAAAACGGTTGCTAAGGGTGCTAGTTCCTGTCACAAAAACAAAAAAGCATTTGCCACTCTTGTCAGAAATTTTCTGCAGTTCAAAACAAACAATCTTAATAACAATTGTAATTTTTTAATAAAAAATTGTACATATTTTAACAATTATTAACTGATTCTGAACCAATTATATGGTTTGATTTTCAAAATGTGTCAGAAACCAAGTCGATGCAAAATAAAGTTCAACATTATTTTCAGAACCTTTTATTTCTACATTATTTATTGTTTTTCTCCATCCACAGTGGCAAAAAAAGAAATACTTTTGTTTCAAATAAAATAATTCATTCTTTTGATTTGGTGATCTAAAGATTGACAATACAGAGGAGCAATTATACTTTATTTGTATTATTAATTTTTCTTTTAACAAATTCTTCAAACAATAAGATAAATTTTCATGACATTTAAAATTTAATTCTTCAATTCATTATAACAGGCATCCAACAATATTTGAGTTACAAAAACAACTGTTACATCGATTATTACTTTCTGTTAAAACATCCTTACTCGCTTTAAATTGTTTTTATTAATTTTAAACTAACAATTTAATTTGCCAAATTGACATGTAAATTTCAAAATGTTCAATTTTTACATCAATCAGTTTTGATTAAAATTGTAGACAAATTAACAAGATATGTATTTTTCTGATTTGTCATCATCCTGGTCTGCCTATCCTTGTGGCATATAATAATCTGATTACAGTTTACTGATTTATTTAAGCTCAAATCTGCAAATGCTTGTACATACAAACACATACATAGTTGAGCCAGAATTGATGCCGAAGTACTGGCAATTCTTGTAAGGGATAAAAGGGATAAACTATTTATTTTATTTATTTATTTACGGATCGAAATCCACTATAAAAAAGACATTTTACAATAACAAAAAATATAAATAATGTATGTAAAAATACAAATAATATATATAAAAAGAATAAGGACGTATATACATGGTAATAATATAAATGGTAAATATAAATGATAAATATAAAAATACAATTAAAGAGTAAAAACTGAACAACAAAAATGAAAGACATAATTACTAACCAAATAAGGCAGAGGAAACAAAATAAAGCTGAAAGACAATTGAAACTACAATAATTAGGTACATATTTAATGAAAATAATGCTCTTTGTAAATATATAATAAGACTAGAGTGCGAGAATTAGTTGAACCAGTAAATGAAATAAATTGTAATAATTTTGTACAGTATGAAATATAAAAGCATTCAACTAAGGTTGTAGGATAAGGTTTTTCACAGATTGCACAGAACTATTGAAGAAGTCAATGCTATTGCAGATGTTGTTACTCTTGATCATCATTCTGTGTAGAGGAGAAGAGAGCATGTAGTTAGAGCTTTGGAATTCAATATAAAATAATTTATAGGTTTTAAGAGAGTACGAAGGGACATGTAGCTGTAGTTGAGAGAGGAGATAAGGACTATCAATGAGATTGTTTAATAATTTAAATACAAAAACAATATCAAAGTAATCCCTTCTTAGTGCCAGTTCGAAAAGTTTAAATTCAGAGCGGATTCCAGGGTAGGCAGAATTCGGAGGAAGATTGAGTTTGTAGGAAAGTTTTTTTAAAAATTTGTTTTGTACAGATTGAAGAATTTTTTGATAATTTAGATAGAATGGGTTCCAAACAGGTGTAGCATATTCTAGTATGGGTTGTACAAAAGCTTTATAAAGATAGACAAAACATAAAGGATTTTTAAATTCATAGGTGTTCCGGATGATGAAACCTAGCATCTTCATGGATCTATTTTTTATTGAAGAAATATGTTCTTTAAACTTGAGCTTTTGATCAAAAAGTACACCAAGATCTATACCCTAGCAAAACCCCTTGGACTAACCTCAACAATTTTCCAAGCTGAGATCCATGCAAGTTAACTCTGTACATGGTTATTAATAAAGAAAACATGAATGGTGTACAGATTTACATACTCCTAAACAGACAGGCAGCTGTGAAGGCGTTAAATGTGTTGCTTTCAACTCCAAACTTGCCTGGGACTGCTTAAACTGCTTAATAACCCAGGGAAAAAGAACAAGATACCTTAAAGTGGGTTCCAGGACATGAAGATATAGAAGGAAATGAACTGGCTGACCAACAAGCCAAAAAAGAGGAGCAGAACCACAACTAGGTGCGCTAATGTATGTGCTTAAGTTGGAACTGGAAAAATGGCTTGAGAAAGAAAAACTCAAGCACTTGACAAAAGCATCAGGTATGAGGCAAGTTAAGAGATTTATAAATTTCTCAGAAAGAACGTCAAAGAAACTCCTCTCTCCTAGCAGGCAGGATTGGAGGAAAATTATAGGCCTCTGTATCAGCCACTTCCCTCTAAACTACCCCCTAGAGAAGAGGGCAAAGCAGAGACAGAAACTTGCCAACTCACAAGGAACTAGAAACATTGGCACATATCCATTTTGAATGTGTGGCATTAGCCCAGTTATGGTACAGCCACTTTTATAAGGAAATTCTTACACCAAAAGTGGTGTGCAAAGAGATATCAGGTTGATGTGTTTCCCAGATTTTGGATGCATTCACTTACTCGTTTTGATGTGATTTTTTTACACACTAATGTTTAATAGCTGCTTGGCTATCCGATCCTATGAGGAATTTTTTGCCAGTGTAACCTCTTTTAAGACTTTCTAGGGCACAAGCATTGATGGTATGTATTTCTGCTTGAAAGACCGAAGTGGTACTTCCCTAATGAGTTTGACTGCTCAGTTTTGGAATTGTACAAAAACACCTGATTCCTTAGTTTGTATACCATCTGTATACCATATCATTGTATCTGGTGCTCTCCTGAGTTCTTCTTCTCCTTTATAGTCTTTTGAGACTTTATAGGATGTTGTAAAGAATTTTTACAGGATCATATAGTCAGTTATACAATACAGTTGGATGATGGATCTGGTCAATATGCTATATAGCCATACGTTGGAAAGGGTACTTTTGTCTATAAGACTAAGAACTTTCCTCGGTGCCTCTTTGCACACCACTTTTGGTGTAAGAATTTCCTTATCAAAGTGGCTGTACCATAACTGGGCGAATGCCACACATTCAAAATGGATATGTGCCAATGTTTCTAGTTCCTTGTGAGTCGGCATTAGTGTGAAAAAAAATCACATCAAAACGAGTAAGTGAATGCATCCAAAATCTGGGAAACACATCAACCTGATAATATCTTGGGTGCCAGGACACAAAGGAATTTTGGGAAAATAGGACACACTAGTCAGAGTAGGATCTACAAGACCATACATAGGCTCCGAACCTATACTTGGGATAACAAAAACAAATGCAGAATCCTCAATTGCAGAATGGATCCAAATGAAACAAAAGGAGAACTGGATAAACTCTATCAGCTCTAGACACAGTAAACTATGGTAAAACAACCCTCTCCAAGACTGAAAACTCACTACTATAATTAGAGAGGGCTAGACTCAGAGGAGTTATAGACCATTAACCGATCACTGGCATCTGAGAAAACATCTATATAACGATGATCCCATCTGCAGATTTTGTAATGAGGAAGAGGAAAATGCCACCTATATCATCTTTGCAAAGCAACATCAATAGAGACTTTACCTAGCATACAGAAAAAACCTAGGAAATGAAATTGTAGCAGCAACAGTCAATGGCCTAATACTTCTGTGAACTAGGGAAATAGGAAGGTACAATAAGCCAGAAAGCTGCAGTGCCTAGGGAGCACAAACCCCCGCTTCCTAGAATCCTCATCCTCATCACCATCATCAACTTGTTAATTAATTGGTCTTGGGGAAGGGAACGAAAGGATTTCAATAAAGATTGTATATTGTGCAATGAATTGGAACACATCCTCTCTGACTTTAGAGTTATGTAAAATAAATAAATTTCTCAAACATTCAACTTATTTATACTTTTTTTTACTAATCAAATCCCACATATTATTTTTATTGATACCTAAATTATACTGTATGTTATTATAGCCAATGTTTAATATTTCAATGTTTTTCATCTTTTAAATGTTTCTTTGTCTTTCTTGTAATTATTATAATAAAACATTGAATAGTCAGATAGCCAAGGAGCCATCAATGCACTAAGCTCAAATACCATTAGTTCAAAGATGGTGTTGAACTGCAAAACCAAACTAACCAAAAGTCAGCCTCTGCTGGGTCCCAAGACGGGGAGTACAAGGCAATGAGAAAAGGGAAGAAAGCAGACACCCTTGCAAGAAAAGGAGCTGATATACCGCTGATAGGACCAGAACCCTTTTGTGGCATAGGAACCCACACTATCAATGAGTACCTCAGATAGAAGGATAAAAAGAAAACGAGGGAACAATTCACTCATTGGACACCAATAATCCAAGAAGGAAAGAAGGGACAGAATGTATCAAAGGAAGCAGGAAAAACTGTGAATCCTAACAGGTTTCTTAACAGGTAAACTGCATTTAAAGAAGATTGATATAATCCAAGACGGAATATGCAGATTATGCAAAGAAGCAGAGGAGACACCAACTGTGGTGTTACTTTTGCCCACAGGAGGAGGTGTTTTGTTCTAAAGAAATTCAACCACTGAAACCAGACTACAAATCAAGTTACTCGATGAAATAGAATTCACCAGTGTGCTATAAGCACAGAATGGGGAATACAATTGCTCTTAAAGGGCGCAGTGTATTACACCCCAACTTATACTTTATACAACCACATCTACATATTGCATAAAATTAAAAAAAAAAAAAATTCCACTCCTCGAGTTTTAGTAACCCATTAGACTGTTATTTTAACAGGTCATGGATTGCCTGAAGAGAGCGCCTTGCCCTCTTCAGTGAGACTTCAGTCTCAAACTTCAGTGGACAGGTGGTAGGGCGAGTGGCTTTCCAGTCTGGTTACCTCGATACGGCATCGGGCATCTCCACACCACTAACGAGCAAGTTCTGGCGGGAACTTCTCCACAGATTCCTAGTTTTTCTCCTCCTGACGGCGTAGTTTCGGATCGACTGCCTCGAAATGACCGACGTCTTGGAATTCAACGATATCACGGCAGAAATAAAAGGAGCCATGGTATGTCGGAGTCGTGCCACGCCGGTCTCGGCTCGGTTTTATGATATTTTCCTCTCTTTAGTGTCCCGGCAGGCTGAAACTGTCCGAGAACAACATCAGCTTCAAGAACCAAAGGACGGGGAAGGTGGAACAGCTCTCCTCGGCGGACCTCGAACTGTGTAACTGGCAGAAGCTGGTCGGCAACTGGGGCATCAGGCTCTTCCTGAAGAACGGCTCCCTCCACAGGTTCTGCGGCTTCAAAGAATCCGTAAGCACACTTAAGCATACTCCTCTCGTTTCATAATATCAACAAGTGTTCACGCCAATTAATACAAAATGTTTCTGACTGAAAAACACAACAGTTTTTTTGGTTGTTACTATTTTTGAAAAACGTTCTTCACGCTTTGAACTGTAAGGGCTTTGACACATGTATCAGTTTTGACTGAAGCATTTACCGAGAGGAAAACCAAGTCGATGGATCGTTTCTTTCTTGAGAGTGGGACATGACAAATGGTACGGTGCTTATCGCCTGGCGGTCGGTGAGTCGACGAGACGATCCCCAGAGTCGGTTATGTATGTGTATTTACTGGAATGGTTGTGCTCTAACCACTTGAACTGTCGTGACTTCGATCCTCCCAAACTCCTCATCTCAACGTACAACCTCCCAAATGTTCCCTCTTTTTGCCATATTTTCAAGGAGTTGGAGTCCGAGTGGATCAAAGTCATGATAGCTCAAGTGGTTAGAGGAGCGGCGTATTGAGCCTAAGGTTGTGAGTTCGAAAACCGCTCGTGACACTAACTTTTTCATCTCTACCAAGACCTTTGATTAAAAAAAAGAATAACTAATTCTTTTTTTTATTATTTACAACTAGAATTAACTCAAACAAGCTAATGCAATGATAATAAGAATACTTAAATTTTATCGTCCTAAGTGGATGTAATTCAGTAGTAATATTCCGATAGAGGTAAACCTAAGCATTCGCTTGACACTCAATATCTCTCGTGTTGAGATCGCGTGGCCATCAACATTGGGTAATATCGGGACGTATAGTGTATATCGCCTGGCAGTTTTGAAATGGAGTCGTTGGGTCAATGAGACAAACCCCAGAGTCGGTTTTGAAAGCATATTTACTGGAATGGTTGTGCTCTAACCGTATGGTTGTGCTCTAACCGTGACTTCGATCCACCAGATACCAACCTCTCAGATTTTCCCTCTTTTTGCCATATTTTCAAGGAGTTGGTATCCGTGTGGATTGAAATCATGATAGCTCAAGTGGTTAGAGAAGCGGCGTATTAAGCTGAAGGTCATGAATTCGAAACCTGCTTATGACACTAGCTTTTTCATCTCAACCAAGACCTTAGATAAAAAAATAAATAATAATATTTTTTTTCTTAAATTTACTATTGTAGAATTAACTACAACAAGCAAATGCACTGATGATAAGAATACTTAACTTTTATTGTCCTAAGTGGATGTAATTCAGTAGTGATATTCCGATATAGGTATACCTAAGCATTTGCTTTTCACTCACAATCTCTTGAGTTGAGATCGCGAGGCCACAGCATTGGGTAGTATCGGAAAGAGTGTTGAGGAAAGTTGCGTTACTAAGGGATTTAGGATGAGTGGAATTTGATGATGTTGGAAACAAGGGACGTTGCATTTGCTATACAGTGGAGCATTTTGGACTGGAAAGATTGTATTTGATAGGAGTCATATATATCCATACTGTAAGTCCATGACGGTTTGAGAAATTTGTTGTACTAGGTTGTCCAGAAATTAATGCAGTTTTATGGTTATAAAATAAAAACAAATAAATTATTTTAAACATTTTTTATTAATTAAAATACCCTCCATCACTCTCAATTCACTTCTCCAAACGGGGCATTTTCTTCTATACACTTTGAATAGAATTTTGACTTTTTCACACCTTCTGTAAATGCATTTTGATCATTAATTTTTTTATGTTGTAAAATGTTGTCCAGGTGTATGAAAAAATGGTAGTTGGTAGGCAAGGGGTCTCTAGATTAGAGAGGTGAGGCAGAACATCATAACCAAGATATAACAGTTTTTATTTTGTCAAAAGTGAGACATGGGTCCAAGTGTTGTCCTGTAACAGAATGATCTTTTTGGATTTACCAAAGATGGCTTCAATAGTGCCTTTTTCTGGAACATTGCTGCAATTGCTGTAGTAAATCAGCCCTAATGAAACCCATCAAAGTCACCATCACCATTTTTTGATGAGTTGGAGGCTTTGGAAAATGTGATACTGCTTCTCCTTTGTCAAGCCATTGTCCAGAATGTATGCTGTTATCATAGAGAATCCACTTTTTATCACAAGTAACAATTTTATCCAGAAATGCTTGAAATGTTTCAGCAAATAAGTGTTGTGCAAACTTCATAAAGATTTTTTTTTCTGCGGTCATTTAAATGCATGAGGAACCTAATTTTTGAGCTCTATCACCTGTCCAACTCCTTAAGGTGGTGAGCGAGCGGGACCAGCACCTCTCCATTTGGGCAGTATGAGTGATCATGAGTGGTTGGCTTAAGTGTTTCTTATAATGGTACATTTCATGATTGACTTGGTCTGAATTTGATTCATGTAGATGTTCACATCCCATCCCCCAAATCCACATGTATTCCATGGGCCAATGAGCGAAATGTATATTGATTAATTGTCTCAAATATTTAGTAATTATATAAAATAGTTCTGTTATAAAATTTCACTATTTGTTAACTGTGTTTCTCCAGTTCGTCCTAAAAAGAACTGATTGATTAGAAAATGATAAGTAATGATGTGAAGTAAAATCTTATAATCTAGTCAAATATTAGACCTTTTTATATTTGTGTCTCTTCTTAATACACATTGTACATTTTTTAGGAGTTAGATAAGATTGCAAAGTTCTTCAAAAACAAATACCAGCAAGATCTACTTGAGAAAGAGCTAAGTGTCCGAGGGTGGAACTGGGGCACTGCCAAATTCTCCGGCTCGGTGCTCAGCTTCGACGTTCACAACCTGACCGCATTTGAAATCCCTCTGAGCAACGTCAGCCAATGTACGACCGGAAAGAACGAGGTGACGGTCGAATTTCACCAGAACGACGAAGCGCCCGTGAGTCTTATGGAGATCCGGTTTCACATACCGTCCAATGAGATCGCCGGCGACGATCCCGTCGACGCTTTTCACAGTCAGGTCATGCAGAAAGCCAGCGTCATATCTGTATCTGGAGACGCTGTTGCTATTTTCAGAGAGATCCACTGCCTTACACCGAGGTACGAATACGAGTTCATTTAAGGAAATCTTTTACAATACAATTAATCCACTTTTTCTTCTTTTAGAGGTCGTTATGATATTAAAATATTTTCTTCATTCTTTCAACTTCACGGAAAGACTTTTGATTATAAAATCCCAATGGCTACTGTACTGAGACTTTTCGTACTTCCACATAAAGATGGGAGACAACATTTCTTTGTAGTAAGTGTTTCTTAAGTACTAAGTGAATAATAATATAAAGTAAGTAAAGCTGTAAGCTTGTCATTTTCTAGAAAAATGGTTATGTTATTACCTAATTAACCAAATTATGTTTTTAGGTCAGTTTAGATCCTCCGATTAAACAAGGTCAAACCAGATATCATTACTTAGTTTTTCTTTTTGGACAAGATGATGATATGTCGTTAGAACTACCATTTTCAGAGTAAGTGGCCAAAAAAGAGTGAAAAAAATGTTGATTTGACCTTATACACTTTTAGGGAAGAGCTTTCTGAAAAATACGAGGGAAAACTTACTAAAGAACTCTCTGGTCCTACTTATGATGTCCTTAGTAGAATCATGAAGGTGTTGGTTAATCGTAAAATTACTTTTCCTAGCGGTTTTATTGGGTGAGATTCTCGAGAAATTTTTTTTTTTTTCATGATTGTTAGAATAAAATTTTACTTTTTATTTTTTTAAAGACACTCAGGTACAGCAGCAGTGGGCTGTTCTTACAAAGCAGCTGCTGGTTATATGTATCCTCTCGAAAGAGGCTTTATTTATATCCACAAGCCTCCACTCCACATTAGGTTTGAGGAGATCAGCAGTGTTAATTTTGCCAGAAGCGGTGGTAGCACCAGGTGAACATTTGTTAATAGAATTTTGTTTAATCCAAGCAGTAATAATTTATCTGTAATTATAGGTCGTTTGACTTTGAAATAGAGCTGAAAAGTGGTGTCATACACACATTCAGCAGCATCGAAAAAGAAGAGTATGGCAAGCTTTTTGATTTCATCACATCGAAGAAGCTCCATGTGAAGAACAAGAAGTCGGACAAGCCCACCTACGCTATGGACGACTTCCGCGACTCAGACGAAGAGAAAGAACCGGATGCGTACCTCGCCCGTGTCAAGCGTGAAGGCCAGGAAAGGGACGATGAAGACGGCGGCAGCTCTGATGAGAGCACTGATGAAGACTTCAAACCTCAAGCTGAAGAATCTGATGTTGCTGAAGAGTAAGAAAATTAAACCTACAGCAAATTGCGTTAAAAATTACTTTCATGAATATATTCAGGTACGACACCAATCCTACTCCTACGGATTCTGATGACGATTCCGATGCCTCTGGAGGTGGAAATGAAGATGGAGAGAAGAAGGAAAAGAAAGAGAAAAAAGAAAAGAGAGAAAAGAAAAAAAAGAAAACAACTACAATCGTAAGTTTTTTTTAACAATTAAAAAATTTAATTGAACAAAAAAAAATGTTTATTTTAGTCTGAAAAGCCGAGGAAAAAGAGAGAGAAGAAGCACAGAGATGCAGACAAGCCGAAAAGGGCTCCTTCCGCTTACATGCTCTGGTTTAACGATAGCCGGGAAAAGATCAAAGCCGACAATCCCGGCATCTCTTTCACCGATATCGCCAAGAAGGGAGGGGAACTTTGGAAGAACTTGTCCGATAAGTCTGAATGGGAGAAAAAGGCGGCCAAGCTCAAAGAGGAGTACACCCAGGCAATGTCGGAGTACAAAGCGAGCGGAAAGGCGAACAAGTCGAAGGAGGAGAAGGAAAAATCGTCTAAGAAAAAGTCTTCAACAAAGTCCAAACCTTCTCTGCCATCATCACCTGACAAAAAGGGTTTCATCAGTAAAGAATTTATTGAGGATTCTGATTCTAGTTCTGACTCAGATGCTGATAAAAAGGTACATCACAATTAATCATTTTTTGCCCAAAACAAATATTTTATTAATTATTTTTTTCAAGCTGGGTTTTCCTTCAAATTTCCTTATTAAATTCATGGTAAATACGAGATGAATTAATTATATGTGCTATGATGTATTTTCAGTTCTATGAGATTTGAACATGAGTATTGGGTTTTTCATTTTACATGAATAAAATGAGCATTGCAATTTCTTCCTTGCAGATAGCAAATATAGGGATACTCACTACGACGCATAACAAGCCGGCATGAAATTTATGAATTTAAAATCAAAGCTTGACGGGCTGAACATTGTGAAATACCACAAGTTTTTCAAGGGCGAACGCATATTACCGGAGATGTAGAAAATTACAACATGTGTCTAACCTCCAATTTGTGACCCAAAGTCAAGAGTTTTTATAATATATGTAAAGTAATTAAATGTAATGTACATTGCCAGATTATGTTATGTCATAACAGTTGAATAAGTTAGAATAATTTTTAAAATATTTTTTATTTCTTTTTTTAAAGCCCATTTGTATGTTGGGTTTGAATGCCGGATTCGAATCGGGGACCATGATGAGCACTGTGCCAACACTTAAACCTTTACGGCCACCACACCACCCCATACTAGAATATTTAATTAGGCCATTCCAATCATTTGAGCTTATGTTTAAGAGGAAATTACACAATGGAATATTTAAGACATTTTTTATTTTTAGTTTAGAGAAATGCTATACCCAAAAAATAGCTAATAAAGCTTAATTACTTATTGTTATATTACATACGTAAAATCCATATGCCCAGTTTTGGAAATTTTCGTTCTCGTTAGGACAACTAAATAGCAAGATGTCCTGACAAAATTTTCAATAATTTTGAAAATTAACATTGCTTTTTAAACTACTGACTAGACTGACACTCTCAACACAACACACAACCGTGACACTTCTACATAGAAAAAACACACTTTGAACCGAGGAGATGATCTAAATAAAGATCAAAATGCCGGAACATTAAAGAAAATGTTCTTCTAAACCTACATCACACAAGACCGCATCTCACGATCTCCGAATAATAATTGCTTTTAAAACTAATATTTCAGAAGGAGGTAAAGAAAGAAATAAAAGCTGAAAGTAGTGACAGTGAAAAGGAATCGAAGGCAAGCTCTAAAAAGAAAGGAAGCTCGGACGATGATAGCGATAAAGAGTCGCGAAAGAAGAAAAAGAAGGCCAGCTCTGATGAAGACAGCGAGGACAGCGTAAAGAAAAATAAATCCAAGTCGAAAGATAGTGATGATGAACTTTCTGAAGAAATCCTCTCGACTCCTACTGCATCTTCTGATAGTGATTAACTTCTTCAAAAGCTACTGATACAGGTGTAAAATAAATACATAAAATCCCCCCCCCATCCAAAAAAGGTGATTATCACTTCCTGTTTCATATTTTAATTTTACATTAATTTTTGTTTATTTAACATTTTTTTACAAAATTGTTATATTTAGGCATTACTGTAAATAAATACAATTCTTTACATGCATTATCATCATCATTTATGAAATCCTCAAGTACTAGTTTCATCTCATTGGGCAGAAAGAACTTGTTAAAAAAAAGAATATCAGTTAATTTGATTTTTATGTTTATTAAACATTATGATCCATTGCTAAAGGATCCCACATAATTTACTACTGTAATGATTTTTTCTTCTCTTCTTCAGATTGTTTCTGTAGATGACATTTTTGATGCTTGGGGAAGGTTAAATGAATATGACTAATGGACTTATTTCTGCAGAAGTCTGAGACTGGAAAAAAGCATTCCATCATAGTTAAGAAACAATTAAGAATAGTCACTGTTTGGGCATGCGCAGTCATAAATCACGGATTAGTTGTTAATTGGTTTGTGATTGTGTACCTAATAATAAATGCCTACTTATTTTTGCTTGTAGATGGTGGCTTACTAGAGACCGGATTTTTATGCAGTAAATATTGCCAAAATATGCAGTTGAAAGCCCTTAAATATGCAATATTAATAAGTTAAAATATGCAGTAAACCAGTTTGTTTACTATCATAGTAACTTTACACAGAAATACAGATGATTAAACGAAATAGATATTAATTTTTTTAAATGAGGGTTCGCAACAGCAGAGGTCATATCAACCCTCAGAGTGCCAGTGTTTTTGAAAAAAAGCTCATTTGTAAGTATGCTCGGTTTGAATGCAGGGCCACTGGATTTGGACGGTGACCTTACAGTGATGAGTGCCGTTTAAACGTTTAACTGTTGCGGCCACCGATGCCCCCTAGGTTTATTTACATTTAACAAAAAATATTTTTCTCACTTACATAATTAAATTATATATTTTATACTAATTGAGTATAATTATTAGAAGTAACTAAAGCACTTCTCTAAATTGTCTTCTGTGAAATTGTGCCTAAAATTTGTGATTATATTGAAATAAGACCTAAGAAGGCATTTTATACTCTTTTGTCCATGTTGCTAGAATCTTTTCTTCCCGTCGTTGCAGCCTGTTTCAGTTATCTTCAAAATAAACTAACTTTTCGTCAATTTATAATTTTTTTATGCTTCCCCAAAAACCACTATAATATTTTAAATATTATATAAATATAAATTAATAAATATAAATGCGATTTTACATAAAAATCCTTCAAATATGCAATTTTACGCGATATTCGTCAAATATGCAAAAATATGCTCTGTAAAATTTACCTATGGCTTCGTAGATACATGATTCAGATAGATAATTGATTTCCTCGGACGTATGTAGTGGTAAACAAAGTATGCAACTGCATAAAAATCCCGTCTCTACTAATATCATTAGGACCTTGAGATCATAGGAATCATTGACGATACTCCTTTCTATATGCAGATATTTCTAAGAAATTATTCTAATAGAAATTCTAATGAAACGTAATTCTGAGGGATGTTGAAGCTATTGCTTAATCATTTACAAACATCTCAATGTAGGACCAGGAGACCAACCTAGTCAATAAAGTTATGTAGCTTGATTATATCACTGACCATCTTGGTCTAAAAAAACTCACTACTGAATGAGAGAAAATATTGAAGATTAAGAATAGATTATGCAACTTTTGGGCCAAAACTTGTGTGCGTTTGTGCTAGAAAGGTTGCTTGATGTGACCCACCTAATTGAAGGTGCAATTCCTTGGCTCCATATATTAAGCGTGTAGGAATGCCACCCAATATGAGAATCGTACTTGAGCAGTATCTGGGTTTTATTATGTAAAAATGATAGTTTTGTGTACCTAACATGTGTTGAGAGTGAATGTATTTATTAGTGTGAGAAGGTCAATGGCAGAATATTGAGTACTCCATCGATCCTCAATTAAGGTATTTATATAATGTGAGTAGAGGGTGATACAGGAATGTTGAGTACCTCACATCACCTTAATTAAGTGAAAGGTATGTAAATAGGAAAGAATATATTTTACGAATGAGTTTGGATCTAAGAACTGCACATGTTGGGTGTTGAATTGACACCACCTGGAGCCCACCCTTGCATGCTGGACGAATAAGACCGAGGTCTGTTCCTGGACCGCCAACAACCAGGATGAGTGATTCTCGAGATTTGGCAGTAATTTATTGTTAATTACAAAGCTGGAATTGCCGGTGGATGTGAGAAGTGATGAAAGGCTCAACTCTGTACATGTGTATACAACTGTACATACATGTGCAGATTTGAACTTATATAAATCCAAAATCCCAAAGTCGTGTCTGACAGACAAAACAAGCAGTCAGACAAGGAGAAATAATCATTAACGATCACTAAATACTACACATAATTTGTTAGTAAAATTGTTCATTTAGCTCTGCAGGAAGAACTGGAGACAGTCATGATAAGCAAAGACCAATTTTTGAAACTGACTTTCTTTTTCAGCTCAGTATATCAAGGGTTAATAAAAACACAATTTTAGTTATAAAATTATTTATTATAAATTGTTAAAATATAAATTTTAAACTTTCTTTTTTTTACATTTAAAGCTTGAAGGTTATTAAAATCTAGGACATAAGCGATTTTCCTTCTGAAACATTTCAATATACATATTTTAATAAATAAATTTCTCACTTACAACAACCTTTTAGGCTATAAAGTTCTAAAAAGAAAACAACCGTAACTGACACTGTTAAATAGTCCAACAGTGTTTAATTCTACTCTTGGTAAAAAATACAACATAAAAGTTTAATTAATCTGTGTTAAATTTCATCACGACCGAAAATATATTTCATGGGAAAAATTGTATTTTAAAATATAGGATTTTGTTTTTCACAATCTGTTCAAACTGGCAAGATAATAGGAACGATTATAAATATCAGTCATTTCATGGAATGTTCATTTTTAATGTTGCGCACACATGGCAAGAATTCAGCTAACTTAAAATAAACAGGAACACGTAAAACTGTTACAATACCAAAATGACTTAAATTATAATATTTGTAAAATGGTAGTTTTCTCTTATATAAATAGAAGAATGAATGCACCGTTTTTTAACTTATTCACTAGACATCATCAGTGAGTTGGTTCACTAAGAAGATGACATCATCAACCTCAAAAAATATCTGCTAGATAAACTTGTCAAATGAAACAAGTCCTCCAGTGAACGCGTTAAACATAAAAACAGGAAAACTAAAATCCTGTAAACCATTTTTCTGCAATTCAATCAGTCTTTAATTTAATAAAGCATGCTTATGTGAAAATTTAAAATATAAATGTTAAATGTATTAGCAAAAATATTGTCAACTAAATATATTAATTATTAGTATAGTATACACTCTTAGTAATAATCATGGAAATTTACATGAATTCAGTAGAACCCGCATTATCCGGGGTGCACTTAGGACTTTCTTAAAAAATTTACTGTTTCTATTTTTCTTTAATGACAACAGTTATTCTATGAAAATCTCATACTTTTTTTTTAACAAGGGAATTTTAACTAAGAGATTATATGAACCCTCGTGGTGCTGGTGTTAAAAAACAGGGGGTTACTGAAGAAAATTTACAGCCAAAGTGTCACATAAAAAGAAAAATGTTGTGTTAACAATGCAAAAAGAAAAAGATTATTAAAATAAACTCTTGTTATTAACGCTTTCACTCATCTGCAGTTGCCCCCATAGTTTTAGAGGAGAGTGGAAACATGGAGAATCAGTATGTATGTTACCATAAATTGTATTTTTCTTATTGAAAAAACCCCTGAAATATGTGTACATAAGTACCATACATTAAAATAACAATAGGCAGCAAACGATACGGAAATGTCTGATTGGTATGCAAATAGAAGAAAATGCTTCAAAGCGTGAAATTTGTGGTGATTCCTATCATCCGCAGTTATCATTATCCACGATTATGCTTGGCGGGTAATGAGAGTCTACTGTAATAATAAATCGCGTGAAAAGGGTGAAAAACTTAAAATAAAAAAAATGTTCGCTGAGTTTAAAATTAGTAAACAAACTGTTCGAGATATTATGAAAAAAAGATATTTCGAGTTTGTATCTAATTTCGATATTCATACTTATGTACTTTTTTTTGGCCTAATGCATAGTATATAAGCCATATCCATAACTTATATATTATAAATTTATAATTAATTATTTCTTATATTTATAATTATATTTTTAACAACTTTTATCTAATTCAAATTATTTTAAAAAAAATTATAAATCAATTATATGTGGTTTTCGCAGATAATTTAAGTTCTACTGTCTTCATCATACTGTAATGGTGTTCACTCACCATATATCATTAATGAGGCAAACAAAAATTGACATAGATTTTCAATCATGCAATTAAATATAAATAAATACAGCTGTTAAAAATATTGTCTTTTCAGTTTCCTCAAATCCGGTGAGTGAGTCAACACAATTAATTAATATCCTAGAAACAGTTTTATACTGTCACCATTCACTGTCGTTAGTTAAAAACATAGAACAGATGTCAGATTTCTTTTTATGAAAAATGAATTAATTTAAAAAGAATTTGAAGAATAATAATGGTCCAATAATATTAACTAAATATTTTGTAAAAGATATTAATAAATAGATTTCTTAATATTGTATACAAATTTGTCATATATTTTGGACCACTTTCCCTCCGTAAAAATATTATTTGCTCAGGCTGTGAATGATGTTTTTCAGATCTCACATTTTCCTAATAATAAACATAAGAAATTTAGTTTAAAACAGAAACTGCTATATTAATCTGCATCTATTAATCTCCAAAATTAATAAATATCTTTTAATACACAAAAAAACCGACACCTATAAAACGTAGACAAGTCTAAAGTCTTACGTAACCCCCAATGCAGCCAGTTCTTTAATGCAGTTGTCTAGAAAGTTTGGCGCCAAGGCTGCAACCGGCTCCGTCTTCTGGTGTATTCCATTCCACGTGATCACATCCTCTTTGCCTGTCGTTAGCGACCTACCGACGGTGAACACCAACCTACGCCTCCAAGCGATCTGAAAGATTGAAATTATATCAATTTCGGTTCGGATTGAATATGAACGTTTGTGCAAATACCTGGAGAAGTTTGAGGACGTGCCTTCCTTTTTTTGTATCGGGGAGATAGCAGACTCGAGGGAAACCGACGGCATAATAAGGCCTCCCAGGATTAGGATGCTCTCGTCCTTGTATCCCAGATACAATACTTTAAAAAAAAGAAGAATTAGTTTCATTTAATGATCATAATTAAAATAGATTAATAGTGTTAGTCCACTCTGAATATTGGTTTGCAATGTAAAAAAAGATGATGAATAACACTTGACTGCGGCCTATGCTCGGTCATTTTGGTTGCCCACAGCAGAACCTAATTTATAATTTTTATAAGTTTGGTTAAAATTTTTAGTTTATAATGTTATATATAAAAAGTTCATAATGTTTTATATGTTTATCTCAGTGATATACATTATATGGTGCAAGAGTTGCATCCTCCGCCTTTCTACAATTATGTTTCTACAAACATAGTCACATAACATGGGTAAATAATTAATTAAAATTAAACCACAATGTAATATACAATATAAATAAACCATGTACTTACATAGAAAAACAAATTACATGGTTTTTATAGCAAAAAAATATCAGTTCCTGTTGAAAAAAAAATTAAAAGATGGTAGCCAGTGACACTTTTGGCCTTTCTTAGATGGATCTAGGCATTTCGAATGAAATGTTGTAGCAGGAGAATTTAAAAAGCATAAACAGGAGGGTGAAGACCATGTGTCTATCGCACCCAGAAGGACAGCTGGCGTGATGCACATGCTGCGTTTTCTAAAATCAAACTAATTTTTTTTTCCTTTGTTCAACTTCACAAACCAACCTACTAACAGCGAGTAATAAATTTAAAGAGAGTAAAATTAAACTTTTTTTATTTTCAACTAATTATTTATAAACATGAAATATGGCTAATATTGTACTTGATGATTAATTACATGTACAATTACCACTTAAAATAAACTAATACAGTAATCCCTTAACAATCGTAGGTGTTTGGTTACAGAAAACTGCTGTAAATGTTAAATCCATTTACAGGGTTATGTTCCATGACGCCAAAAAGGATTTTCCACATAAGGATTTGAAGCGGGCGACCTCAACATCCCTTTTAAACTTAAAACTTCAATTTAAAGATGAGTCGAAATCCATTGCTTTTTTTAATAAGTTGGCCCCTCAAGGTTAAGTTTACCTGAGCTGTTTTGAAGAAAAGCTTTGGCCTGCATAAAAAAATTTAACATGTAAAACAATTTTATTCTTTCAACAAGAGTCAGGACGGTTTTTTCCATTTTGGAGGAGGAGGCATTTTACGACACGAGTTCAACAAGAGAATAAAACAAACTGAGAAGACAGCAGGAACATTTTGTTGAAAGCAGGCAAAAGTTTTCTGAGAATCAATTTGATCCTCAAATCCATTTTTTAAAGAATTATTTTCGAAACAAAAATAAAATTGTTTAGGCAACTGTTTTTCTTTCCATGAATAAAGAAATCATACTTCTGCAAAAACTTTCCTAATTTTTTCATATGTGAATAGTGAAAACCACAAATGTCAAAACCAGTGTTAAGGGATTACTGTATTATAGTTTTTATGTCTTCCAATTTTTGAAACACTTTTCTATTAAGGGAGGGGTTCATTGATCAAGGGAGAGGTTGTACAAGTCGCAAGGCCTTGACTACGTGTTGGAATCTTGAATTATCTTGAATCAATACATGTCCTTTTCATTTTCCCCACAATAGCAATTCAAGTTTATTTGGCAGGCAAAAAAAGACGTTTAAGTTAAAAATGCAGAAATAAGGAATTATTTTTCTTTTTGTAAATTTTTTTATTCCATCATGGATCTAATTATCTGCCTTCTAAAAAATGGCCTAAAAATAATATAAATTGTACATTAATTCTATTAATCTAAAATACTTACTGATAAGTGATCTGTATTAATGTCACATTGGGATGGCCAGGGATGATAGGATTGACCAAGACCCAGTCCATTGTACCTCTGGGCTGGTTGCCCCTTTTTTCGCCATAAATTTCATGACAGAGGGGACATTCTATGTACAACCACTAAGCAAAAAAAAAAAAAAAGGTAAAAACATCACCTCAAGTTTCATTAAACACCGCACAAAACAGAATAAAATGATAGAAAATTACCTGGGGGAAATTCGGCTGGCTGGTGAGCATGGAGTTCAAGCAGTCTAAGTGCAGCATGTGCGAACACCTTGACAGTGCCACGGTCATTCCCTGGTTGTAAGGACAGAGGCAAATAGGGCAATCGCCGTCGATGGACTCATTAAGGGCAATCACATATTTAGATATTCCAGCGCTGGCAGGGTCCACACCTAAATTTATAGAAATCATTAAAATGGGCCAATTAAACTATTGTAGTCAATACGCACCGACAATGGCACCATGAGAAGGGGAAGATTTCTTTTCAAAAATAAAAACATCATCACTTCCTGCACTGCAATCCAACAGGTCAACCTAGAATATAAATATGTGTTTCTTAGTGACCTGTTGTTTCATAATTTGTCAAAGTCGTGAGGAACAGTCAAGAACAAACTCTTGATCGCTCCTCACTTTAAATTTTTCGAATTGAACTGAGTGTAATCAAGTGATTAATAATTTTTTTACACGACTTCGACAAACAAGAATATAAATTTATTGTTCAGTTAAACCATATTGTGTAAGCCTGCCTGTCAATTTTTTTATATAAAAAAAATAATATGGCAAAATAATAAAATGGTAAAGCTGCTATGGGAAATTGCTAAAAAATTATAGGGACAATGGTGGAAACTGAACCCACAACAGTCTATGATCTGAAAGTCTGAGACACTAACCTCTCAACTACTATGGTCCCCAAAAACTTTTCTAAGTTTTTATGTTTATACTAAGAATTGTGATTAATTACATAGACTTGTGAATTTTAGATGTGTTATGAATACAGGTCCTGAGATGAATGAATAAATACAGTTGAAAACTTGGCGAATGGCACCCCCTCAGAATCTTTCTGTTTGTGTTTCACTGTTTGAAAACAATGGTTCTACTCATAAACTGTGTTCTACACAATAACTATTTCTATCTAACTACTCCTTATTCCTTTATCCTGAAATCCTATCTAATCCGGCCGCTGCTTCAGAGTGAGGAGCAGCAACAAGTTCTTGAAAGTCAGGCGGATACAAGCCGGTATCCATAAGGGAGCATTCTTGGTCCCATCCTTTAAATTATTTATACTGATGACCTACTTTACACCCACCATCTACCATAATGGAATTTTGTCCTCTAACTCAAACCCTACCCAAGCTACCTATGACATTCAAGCACAATATGAGATTACCGGTAAACAATGGAAGACAAGACTGAATGAAGAAAATGTACTAATGGTATGTTCGCATTGAAATTCTTGTCCTGCACTGTACAAAAAAATNAAAAAAAAAAAAAAAAAAAAAAAAAAAAAAAAAAAAAAAAAAAAAAAAAAAAAAAAAAAAACCTGATTTCCTTTCAAGTCAAACACTTAGGACTATACGTAAACAGCAGACTGACACGGAATCCCCACACAAGACTTAAAACGTTTGTTATGGCACTGATTTATAAAGACTCTCCTGAGATACAGTAAAATTTTAATTGTAAAAAAATTAATAACACCGCCAAAGCGATACTAAAGACCTGTGACATCAATTTGATTCTAAAAATACCCTCAACACCCTACAAGCTTCAAAACAAGGTTTTCTAAACAATTGCATTGGTGGTTGTTCCAATGGCTGTAACAAATGTGTTAAGAGACAATTTAACAGAAGACTTGGACAACTATAAAAGACTAGAATCCATCCTGACTGCCAATATTAAAATAACCTTATACCAAATTTTACTGTGCACTGGACAGTGGAACTGTGTGTTCTGCTGCTAAGCCATTAGCACCCAGCACATCCTATTGTCAACAAACTGATTCTGAAAGTTTCACACCAAACTCTCAATCCATTCTCTATTGCTCACCTTTTTACATTCCTATCCTAAGAACTTGCCAATTTACTTTAATGGACAATGGACTCGAGACGTTGCCCCTTAGTCTATCACACTGAGTGCCAGCATTGGATGGTTTCTCAAGGCATTGTCTTTTGGGTACAATGCTATACAAAGTGCTGTGGCCAGGTGGGGGAAAAAATTGTAATTACAGCCAACAAATTCAATGTAATTTATAAAATTAATTGTATGAACTGTCCAGCTATATACGTTGGAATTACTTCACAATATTTAGAAAAACAGAAAAACTAACACAACTATGACTGTAAAACACTAAAAACCAATCCCATAGCATTGGCCACACACCATTTTGAAAAACTACACAACTTTGATTTCAACAAAATACAAATACTAAACACGGAAAAAAAATACAAACACAACTTTCTAGAAATGGTTTATATTAATTAAGACACAAAGAGCATTAATTTTAGAACAGATATATGCAAACTCAGCCATAGCTACGCCAACATCATAAAACAAATAAACTATTAAACCTTAATTTTATTTTCCCTTTCCTTCATTATCGTCCTTAATTTAACCTCCTTTCTAATATTGAATGCTGAATCACAAATCCAACCCAGAAAATCCCCATTCACGACTTCCTTTGGGTTAAATAAAACTGCCTATGATCAAAGAAATTTTCTCAGATTTACCATATCCCTCACACTGCCACAATCATATAAAAACAGCAGAATACAAATTCACATTTCACAACACTTTCACACAAACCAATATGACACCACAAGAATAGGACTGACAGCAAATATTCTGAGTATGAAATATTTGCTTCAAAATTTATATTTACATCTTAAATTGTATTTTTTCCGATCAAAATATGTTTTGTAATTTACCCAGGCTCTGAAGATGACCTGAATAAAAGTTGAACGTTGGGAAAAAAAAGGTGTTTTTCTAAACTACTTCTTGACCGCTACTCACGAGTTCAACAAATTTTGTAATATGCTTGTAATATATACTATGTATAAGGTACAAATAAAATAATTATTCAGATATCGTGAGATGCGGTCGGGTGTGATGTAGGTTTCAGAAAAACATTTTCTTTATCGTGCCAACGTTTCGATCTTTTATTGAGATCATCTTCAGGGCTCAAAGTGTTTGTCTTCTGTGTAATTGTGCCATCCTTGTGTGTCGTGTTGAGAGTGCACTCTCAACACGACACACAAGGATGGCACAATTACACAGAAGACAAACACTTTGAGCCCTGAAGATGATCTCAATAAAAGATCGAAACGTTGGCACGATAAAGAAAATGTTTTTCTGAAACCTACATCACACCCGACCGCATCTCACGATATCTGAATAACTATCGATTAACGGTCACTAATCTCTACACAAATAAAATAATTTTAAAAACTTGTGTTTTATTATCATTATTATATTCATTAATTTCATATTTGAAATCTAATGCTTCAAATCGCTTCAACATTCACTAGACCTCTGACTAATGGGGTAATTTGATGAGCGGCAATCCAAGAGGTTTTACTCGCTTGAGTCACAAAATTTAAAATTTCAGCATTCATAATGAAACAAGATATTGGCTAAGTGCTTTATTATAAATTTACCTTTGAATTTTTATGCTCGCTGTCATGGCTAAGATATGTCGAGACTGTGTCTACACTTGGCCTCCTCCCACTTTTTGTACTGCTTGAGTCTGCGTCCAGAAGAGAGCTGTTGCTCCTCCTCTGGACTGGAACTGGCTCTGCAGTTGAAACTATTGGAGGTGGGGTGGCATTCAGTTTCTGCCCATTCGTCTTATTACTGTTATGACCTGATAAGCCAAATACGTTTATATTAAAATGTTTATTTAATAAATAAATAATTATAAAATAATGCATACTGAATATGTTGAGATTATGAAGTATCGTTCGTGCGATGTTGCCATGGCCTTCGCCAGAGTGTTTGGACTTTTTAAGCGACTTCTTGTTTGAATTTTGGTTGGCACATTTCTTTAAATTTACAGATTGTTTCATTGTTTCTTGGTTGACATGTACTCGTCTACCTACAATTGATTTCAATGTTAATTGTAATTTTTTTTAATGACAACCTTTAATTATTATATATTATGTTTTAATAATATATCAAAAATGGCTACTTGCTGAACATAAACTGACAAAAGTTCAGTACTATTATATATATAAAACAATTTGTATACATCTGTTTGAATTTTAAATTTAATTGGCATATTATTAAAGATGACTGGAGATGATGATCCTTACATGCTCATCATCTCACAGAACCACCGTGTTTAACAATTTAGTCCTTAGAGTGTGCCTGATACTTCAAAGAAGAAGGATTGAGTCTATTGCACTGAACTAAGGAACTAGGAAGGTACAATAAGCCAGAAGGCTGCAGTGCCTGGGGAGTGCAAACCCTGCTTCCTAGTATCCTTTTTCATCATATCCCAGAAATTTAAACTTCTAAAAATTGATATTAATTCATTAACTGACCGGTCATAGAAGCCATTTCTTGTGGGTTTATTTTTGTAAGTGGGTATGGCGCCTGCTGAATCCGTCTCACATTTCGTACAAATCCTGTGTTATTTCTGACCTGTGTCAAATTGCAGAAATTGATTATGTATGGGAAACCAAGATACGTCTTACTGACATCAATAGTCTGGTCACCCTAAAATATAAAAATTTTACGAATTGAAAAAAATATATACATTATCATTAATATGCTTTTGCTAATAGAAAATGTCAATTTACCTTGGCCCAGGAGGTTTCGATAAGGGCCTGGACTTCCATGTCATAAGCGTGCCACTCAGCGTGCCCATCACCGGCCCATTCCCACCTGGCACCTTTCCCAGCTGGCGAGTCCGGTGGGTAGAACATCCTACGGACCTGGTGAGGTACACCAGTACCTGCCTCTTCAGAGCATTGCTGCTTGGTACGAAGGTTGATGTAGTATTTATCTAGTAGAGGGTCTGCATCGCTGAGCATCACCCTTGTCAGCCTTTTAGAATGAGCCCGTTCCAGCAACTGTGACACTTCTGGGCTGTAAGGCCGCCACCGGCCTTGTCTGTTCTCCCACTCCCAGACAACCACTGCATGACCTGCAGTCATCCTTCAAAATAATCAAAATAAAATAAGTAACATAAAATGTGCAAATATAATGACTAGACTGAAAATGTTATGGTGCAAAATGTTTTGTAATATTGCCAAGGATTCAGGAACAAATGTTTGTGCAAGCAAATGTCATTTTTTTATGTCTATAATAGAATGTCATGTTTTTCTACTTCAGAAAGATTTCAATACAACTTTTTTACAGGAATGAATGTCTAAATATTTATAATAGGGACACCAACCGAACTAGGAGTACAGGAGTACAGGGACCTCTTTCATTAGTAAAACCCTAAAACCCATCACCCACATTACCATAATCCTCCAAGCTTAATTCAAACTATAACTTTCAACACAGGAAACACTAAAAGAGATCACTTCGGTAATGAAAACTTTAGATCCACACCTGTCTGGGTATGCAAATTTGCAAGGAATAGTTGACCATAATTAGGTGCCAGCTAAGACAAACTAGCTGAAAGCTTGCATAAAAGCAAGTACCACACACATCAGCTATTAAGTACACCACAACATATATCAAAATTGGAACTGAACATGACAATAACAAGTAATGTCAAATGCCATGTAAAATAATCTCAAAGCCATCGCCATTTCAATTGTCGTCGAGAATCCAAACCGATTACACGACATTTGAAAAATGGCAAAAGGAGGGAAAACTCATAAGGTGGGGTTGAGATGGGGAGTTGATGTCCGAGTGGATCGAGGTCACGATAGCTCAGGTGGTAGAGCAGCGGCGTATCTAGCCAAAGGTCATCTCAACTAAAAACCTTAATTAATTGTAAAGTATTAATTGGTCAAGCGGACCTCCAAATTAGTGAAAATAATCTCAAAGGTTGATAACTCAAACAGGAAGAAAAAAAGTCTATTCCTTGATCAGCAAAGAACAGATGCAGATAGTCTTAAGTTTTTAATGGTAACACCAATTGGAATACCACATCAAACTAGCTGTAAACATGGGACTTATATTTTATGTGATGGTAAAGCTTAAGCCCAGAGTATAACTACTTTGTAATTGTAATTATAACTAAAGAAATTAGCAAAGTGATGCCTGGATAAGTTGAAAACTATTGTGTTTAAGTCTGTAAGGCGATAAACCCATGAGTTCAATCTCTATTTTCGCTGGCTTTGTCTCTGATGACTTTCACCATCTTCGTAGGTTGGTTGAAGACCAGCGAGACTGCAGACCAGGATGATTAGAGATGATCAAGCTATCTAGTTCATCACAGCAATAATTCAATTAAATATATAGATACATCATTGTATCAAATATAAATGGGATTCATTAAAAAAAAGATCAATTTTCTTAAGCTTAAGCTTACAAAAATGTATTATTTTTCTTCTCCTGTCCTGTCCTAGAAACACATTTTTCCATTGGATTGGGAGTTTTTTTTTAATTTTTTTATTGCATCATCATAAAAACTTTGAATGTTCTTGTAGTCATTGGAGCATAAATGCTTCCACCACTTCGTTGTCACGTTGAAATAATGTCCTCCAAGTACTTCAAAAAAAGATAAAAGTCTGGACTATTGGGTGGGAGTTATAATGTTTCATCCGATTGCATCCAATATTTGCCTTTTAAGTGTATGAGGTCTGGCGTAATGCAGAAGAATGACACTTCCGGCCGATTGTTTCTTTCTATTCCTTCGAAATTACAATTTTGCAGCACAATAACATTGAGCATTAATTATGCGTCAATCATGGAGAATTCAATATGAAAAGCGGCCCCAATGTTGTCCTCTGTCACGCTTAAGAGGCGAACGTGGCTCTCTTTTCAACTTTTCCACACCCTCCAGAAAATTCTCTGTGCCAAGAAAACACGGGTTCTTTATAGCATGTTGTCCCTGTACTGTGCCCTTAACTGCCCCAAAATTTCGGATGTCCCTTAATACTCGTGGTTTTGACATTTATGGTTTTCATTATTCATGTATAAAAAAAATGAAAGTTTTGACATTTGCAGACGTCTGATTTCTTTCCTTTTTAAAAAGATAGTTCTTACAGAAAGTTGTTTTCCAACGATCTGGATTTTGAGCTTTTAGCTCATCAGGTTGAAGGAGTTCTACAACCTGATGAGCTAAAAGCTCGAAATCAGGATCGTTGCAGAACAACTTACTATGAGTAGGAACTACCTTTTTAAAAGGATTGAACACCACTCTCACTCCACCATTCATCATTTCTATGTCTGATTTCTTTATTTGCACTAAAAAAAGAAAAAAATTGTTTAAATAATTTTATTTTCGTATCGAAAATAATTCTTTAAAACATGGAGTAATTGCTGTAATTTTTTGTCAGAAAACTTTTGCCTGCTTTCAACATTGTTCCTTCTTTCTTCTCAGTTTGTTTTATTCTCTCATTGAAGTTGTGTCACAAAATGCACACGGAGGTTTTTTCCGAAACGGAAAAAAACCGTCCTAATCCTTGGTGAAAGAATAAAATTGTTATATGTGTTACATTTTTTTTATGCAGGCCAAAGCTTTTCTTCAAATCAGGTCATGGAAATTTTAACCTTCCGAAGTTTCAAGTTTAAAAGGGATGTCGAGGCCACTTCAAATCCTTATGTGGAAATTCTTAAATTAGTTAATTATTCAGTGAAACAGTGATCAATTAAGTTATTCCCTTGCACAGCAAAAAATACAAACAATTAACATGTTCAAACACTGTTATGACTTCTACTATGTTTATTTCGAATAAACTTTTTTTTAGGTCTAAATTGTACCTCAATTTTTGGCATCATTCACAGCAGCTTTCTTGAGCCGAACACCCACGAATGTTACGTTACATTAGAGATTACTGTATTCATCACCTCCTTGGTCTAAAACTTAATAATAATACATGCTCCATGGAGATGCGCACTTCTTTCTCACTCATGGTTTGTATGATATTAAAGGGACCTGGGAGAGTTGCGATCTGGTACAATCAACCTGCGCATCGACCACTTTCAGGTCTTCAACTTCTATGGCACTTTTACGAAAATCAGTCCCTTTTATATTTGCTACATCCCCATAAAGAAAAAATTCAGTTATTTTTAACATTTTGTGGTGTAGTGTGTGCTTTTGTGTTAGTATTGTACTAAAAACAAAATCTGCAAAAATGATCAAATTATTGATGCTAGTAGACGCATTTTGTAAGAAGTCTTGTACTTACTTTGAAGACATAGTGGGCAGAGGCCTGAGAATTATTAATAAATAAATACAGTTCAAAAGGGGAAAAAAGAATGTAATAAGAGCAAGTGATGATAAGCATCAAAGTCCAAGGAATTTCAGATATTCAAAACCGGTACTGCACCATCGCAAAAGTAAATTTCATTTATAAATAAATTGGTTTAAAGTCTATCCCCACAGATATTAAATTGTTAGAGATTTATTGTTTATTTATAATAAAATATTAATTAATTTACCTTTAAAGTGATTGGAAATTGGTAAGAGTGATTCCCGCCTCACCTAACGCTCCCCATCGCCTGTTTTTGGGCCGGAGTTCGCAGATTTATCTCCGGCTGGAAGGAAGGAAGCGTCCTGGAAGGAATAAATGTTTACGATTCTGCGAGGAAGAGGATGCGTCGAAGTTTGCAGTCTGTCGATTTCAAGGAACGCTGAGCATTTCCCATAGAGAGCTCTACTCAGAGCCGACTGCCAATGAACTGAGGATGGGGTCACGTGACCGAGGCGAGCATATGGAACATCACGATGAGATTTTTCCCAGGCTCTGAGCCTCCCTCCTCTCTTTGCTCTCCTCTCACTTTCACTTTGTCGGAAGAAGAAAAAAAAATCAAGATCAATCCCGTCTCGAGTCCCATGTCACTTGAAATATTTTGAAAAAATATACCTTCGATGAAGTAACAGAACCGATGAGTGTATATGACGATGGGAAGAAAATACATTTATACAAAATTTATGCAAAAGTGAAGGAGAAAAATATATGTACAATACAATGATTATAAATAACTACACACTAATAAAGAATAAAAAACTATACTATACACCAAAATGATATATATAAATGAAAAATAAAAAAGATCCTTTTAAATAAAACAATATAATGATTTAACTAAACACCCTGTCTGCTTATAATGAATAGGAATCAAATAGAAAGAAAAAAAAAATATATAAAAGTAATAATAATAATAAATGTAACTTAAAAAAAAGCCTGTAAACAAGGCCTAGGGACTGTATGGAATTTCTTCATAAACCAAGATGATATGCCTCTTATAGCAAAATATAAGGTGTTTGATTCTATATTGCGAGCAATTTTATTCTTCACAGCACAGATCTGGGGTTATCAAGAATATGAAGAAGTCGAAAGTGACCAGAGACACTTTATTAAAAAATTGTTCTGCATGCTCAAGAGTTGTTCGGATTATGTACTTTATCTCAAAATTAACATGCCTTGGTTTATTTTTACTTTTTCCCTGCATATTAACTATATTCAAAGAGCCCTTCATTGTTCAAGTCAAAGTCTTAGGAAGAAATTAATAGAAGAGATAATGACAAAAACAAACTTTTTTTTGGTACGATTTGTTAGTTAACAAATATGTAAAAATGGGATGATATCAACAAAAAAATATCATATATGGAAATAACTTCTTAGAAGATTTAAAACTGAAGACAGAGCCTTATTTGGAGGAGGGAGTGCACGTGTTTTCATTCATTGTACAGAGCTATCAACACCGATTTAGGGGAAAACACATATTTAAACAACAGTTCACAAAGCTTTTTTATGTCTATAATAATGAAAACTAGGTGTGAAAGGCTAAATTTAAATTTTTCATCCACTAGAAGCAAAGAGTGTTCTCTCTGCAATATATTAGCAGATGAAACATCTTTCATTTTGTATGTATTTGCTCAATTCTGAGGAACTACAGAAAAACTTTTTTACTTCCATTTAAACTAAATTGGAAAACATTTCTCAAATATTTAAACGGATGAAATTGGCAGGAAATGCACAATTATGAAATATATGCATTAAAATATAGAAATCAATTGACACAAGAATTTAATTATTAAATTAATGTAGTTAACTATCAATATTTAGAACTAGAGGTCAAAAATAGAAAAAAATTACAAATAAGTAAGTCATCCTGAAAGCATTGGAAAAGTTACATGCAAACAAATAGAATGGATTCATGAATACATATGCCTCTTCGTATATATTCACTAATTGTTAATAGGGGAAGGAAAAAAAAAGTAAGGAGAAAAATGTATATATACAATACAATGCTTATAATAACTCAACATTAATAAAGAAAAAAAACACTAGACTGTTCATCAATAAAAAGACAATAAAATCCTTATCAATAAAACAAGATAAAGATTTAATTAAACAACCTGTCTGCATAATTACAACTACTAGGAATTATACAAAAATAATACAATAAAGCATTATAACTACATGCATAGTACGTTTTTAGCTTTATTTTAATAAATAAAATTATTACGCTTTAAGTAACTGACATTTTAATGAGGAAACAAAAGTATTAAATTAATCAACAGTTTTGCATATGTTGTTACATTCTATCATCATGCGATGCATCAGGGAGTGTATTGAAGAATTTGGTTCTTTTTATTTTGATATATTAGTAAATTAATAACTGTTGAACTATCAGTTAGGAAATAATAAACTTTTTGAGATAATTTTTTAACTTTTTGATTCAAACATTTTTTAAAAAACAGGTTGGATGGACATGGGTCTATAATTACGTACGTTGGATTTATTGATTTGAAAAGTGGAATTACAAAGGACGATTTCCAGAACTGAGGAAAATACCGTTACTGAGAGAGTTATTGAAGGCATAGTACAATGGAGTTATGAGGTGAGATACATAATTAGAGACAAGAATAGGAGGAATATTGTCAGGACCTGCTGATTTCCTAGTACCTAAAGTTAAAATCACCCCTTCTTTCTGTTTTTCTTTCATAATGTAGTTTCATCATTCAAATATAAATAATTAATATTTAAAAATATGTTATTGTCATTATTGTTTTGTATTGTTTATTATGTTTTTATTATTATTTTTTTTTTAAGGGGCATCTGACAGCTTGATCATTTCAGCCCCGAACGCATTTGAAATACAACACAAACTCAATATGCACTCACACAAATAAATACATTCACACCTCTATACATTGCATTCATTCTATTTAATAGATAGAGTACTTAAAGTTCCTCCATCAACCTGCATACAATAACAAACTTATCTAATTGGGGTCGATGGGGTACTTTTCTATAAATATTCCGCCCTTGACCCAAGTCGTGTAGACAGCTCAAGGAACAATCGCGATGCTACCGGCATGACAATTTCTACATCAAAAGGGAAGCTGATGAGGACTCCATCATGGAACTATGGCAAGGCCCATCTCTAAAGTAAGTTTGGCAACCATTATTTCTTCTAGATCTTCAGCCATCTTGAACATTTTGTCGGGACATAATGAATATTGTAACCTGTCTTAAAATATTTCATTAAGCACCTCCTTGCTATATTTCGAGCATTTGAATGTATAAGAATAACATTTTCTTCTTTTTATTTTATGTTTTTTGGGAATTTTTTATAACAATATTTTCAACAACAAGGATTATCCTTTGAGTTAGGTTAAGCTAATCCCCAACCGCAGGCTCGGCAGTGTGAGCTGAGACAGAAAAGGACGACGAAGGACCGCTTTTCAAGTTGTTGAAGGCACCTCTTGTTTTTGTAAATGTCAAAGAGTTATGAATGTCATGAATCACTTTATTTTATTCTATTTTCTTAATCTTAATACATTTATTTTAAGAAGGTAAATAAATAACAAACATATAACAAATATATGGGGGGTCAATGGAAGTACTTTTATAAATATTCTGCCATCGACCCAAGTCACTTACACAGCTCGAGGGGCGATGCTATTCCACCATCTGCCCCTCCCCATTCACTCTAATAAATACACTCCCTCATACAAAACACATATTTTGACAACTGTGTACAATAAAAAATTCCCAATTCCACTAAAAAGCAAAACAGGGGACTCTGAAACTCACTACTGTGTCCGAGAACTTCTTAAATCCAGCAGCATGCCTACACACTCTCTGTATGGAGCCAAGGAATGACACACCTCTATTATGTGGCACACATCAAGCAACCTTGCTCTGCATAAGGGGCACCTGCACGGGTGTTTATTATTATTTTATATATTTGTAAAACTTAATTTATTTCTAATATAAGTACATGTAAGGGGGCATAAAGCTCTATTTGTACCTTTAAAATAAATAAATAATAGGTCGTTATTTATTTAATTTTAGTTTCTGGACCGTTCTTGCATATTAATTTAGAATATTAAGGAAAGACGAAGAGGAAAAATAATGTAGATCAAAGCTGAGGAAATTGTAGCAAAGCTAACGTTTTATTGTTATATTTTTGAAATTCCCACTCGAATGTTTCACACGGTTTTTAAACTCTAGTAGTCCAGTGAAATTGTCAAACCTAACGAGCAGAACACAATAACTTATTATTTTATTTTTAAAATCATCTTCGAGCAACGGTGCCGTCTTCAAATCTTAGCGTACAACATCATCATCAGGAGGAGAATGGGACTGGATCCTTGATTCTGGAATAGGATCGAGTTTCGAGTTTGGAGGGATTTTGGGCCGTCACATTCGCAGTTCGCAGTTCGCAGTTCGTAGCAGCATCGTTGCTGCGTAGGTTTCAACTTTCGACGCGATGATGTTCGAGTGTGAAAGCGAGTCGGACTCAGCTGTTACGCCTGCCCATTTCTTCGATTCTCTAAAATGATGTAAAACCCAAAATTCCAATTGTGCTAGACCGTTTAGAGCTCAGCCGAGCTGTCCTTCGAATGACTGATGTCACTATGGTGGTATGAGTTTACCGGACGATATTCAGATGGATAAAGACAACATTCTGTTGTTCGGTCTCACTGCCTGTGCCCTCGGTCTCAGCCTTTTCATCCTCCTCGGCCCAAAACTCGGACGGAGAAACGCAAGTAATTGTAAGCAAAGCTTATTCATCCTTTATTCACCTTTACCGACCCTGTAAAATTATTTAACAAAAAAAAAAAAGAAAAGATATATATTTTAAAAAAACATCCGAAATTTTTTAATACAGTTGTATAACAGATCTTCAAAAATAAATCAAAATGAGTAAATTTTTAACAAAGGGCTATTTTACTCGGCTCCAGTGTTTTTTTAAGTATTTTATTTCACAACCAGGTGCTTTGGTCGGGCTGCAGAACCTTGGCTTGACTTGTTTTCTCAATTCGCTGCTCCAAGCGCTCGCCTCCTGCCCTTCGTTCATCTACTGGCTCCAGAGCGAGGAGGGGAATGGGAGCGTGTCCAAGTCGCTCTCCTCCATCCTGAGACGTACGCTGCCTTTATCTTTGCCTTTGACCGTCTGTCTCACCGCTTATTCCTTCTATATTCCAGTGTTGTGCTACGAACGGCAACCGGACATAGAAGAAGTCTTTTCACCGAATGATCTCATCTATAATCTTAGAGACAAGGTCTGGCCTGTCTTCCCCCAGGAACAAGACCCGCATGAGCTGTTCCTCCACATCCTCACGGCGATCGAAGAGGAAGAACAAAAAGCGAAACCCGAGGTCTGTACAGCCGATTATTTGTTGAACATTTCAAATGTTTCATTATGAGTTTTATCAAAGAGAAATGAAACAAATGCCCTACTGAAGGGGTAGTAATTTTTTTAGTATGCCTTCACATCAAACTGATAATTTTCTTTTATCAAACTGTTATACCAGGTAGTTTTTTTAAAATCATTAAGAGCCACGTAAAAAAATACAAAGAACTATGCCATAGTTTCATAGCAATTTTTTAAAATTTTTATTTAGCATCAAACAATTACACAACAACAATGTTATAAAGAATACTTTTTAAACAGTTCAAATTATATTTTCACTGACACATCATTTAAAAATTTTATTATTAAATTCATTGGATTTCATGGTGTGCTTGACCAGATAACATATTTCAATTAATTAATCTTTATGTAAGGTATTGGTTGATATACAAAAGTCAGTGTTACAAGCGGGATTCGAACCCACGACCTTCCGCTAAATACACCGCTGCTCTACCACCTGAGCTATCATGACCTCGATCCACTCGGACACCAACTTCCCATCTCAACCCCACCTTATGAGTTTTCCCTCCTTTTGCCATTTTTCAAATGTCGTGTAATTTATTCTTGGAGACAATTGAAATGGCCATGGAGAGCTTTAGCGAAGAAATACTTCATTTAACTTATTAAATTCATTGGATTTCGTGGTCCGATTGACCAGATAACATCTTTCAATTAATTAATCTTTATGTGAGGTCTTAATTGAGATAAAAAAATCAGTGTCATAGTTATAAACACGGATTCTTGAATAGAGCTCTACTTTTCGTAATTTTGTGTTCTTTCCAGATCCTGGTAGAATTTATTTCTGGCCGACGAATGTTGGCTGCAGTGAAACATTTTGTGTGTAGGTTCTCCTTTACTCCGCATGTGTCACAATTAGGGTGTTGTTTTATGCCAATCTTGTGAAGATATGCTGCGCAGATGCCATGGTTTGTTCTTAACCGATGTATGGTGGTTGTCTTTTTTTGCCATGTGTAGTTTGTTAAATCATGGTTTTATTTTCACAGGCGGAAATAATGTTTTATAAACCATTCCCTTCCCCAAGGCAGAATATTCAATTTGCCATTATATTTGAATTCTTGTTTTCAATATTTGGAAATCTTTATAATTCGAGGGATGGGTAACTGTGTGGCATTTTTTGCAAGTTTGTCGGCTTTTTCGTTGACGTATACGCCCATGTGTCCTTTAATCCATATGAAAGAGACCTTTTTTTTTTAACTGGAAAAATTGTTAACAGTCTTTTTTATGTCAGCTGCCATATAATTTTTGATGTTAGTAGATGTGTTTTGCAAGCACTGGATTGCATTTTGGCTGTCTGTGCAAATTATAATGTGATTCGTTGTAGGGAGGTTGAGTGTGAAGAAAGTTAACACTGCCTTAATTGCAAATAATTCATTGAATAAATTTTACATCATTAAATAACACAAATTAATATTTAATTGATAATAATGTAATTTGCACAAGTCTGAAGTGAAGCATAAGCGTAAAAGAAATTGTGAGATTCCCTCTTGAGAATTGTAGTATCAAGAACTGTAGTATGATATTTTCTGTTCATTTTGGTCTGCCCATCCATGCTAGTGTGGTCTGTTGACACATGCCATATTTATAAAAATTTAAAAATGTACGTCAGGATGGGTGTCTGTGGCCGCAATGGTTTAGGCGTTGACATGGTGATTATCACTGTGCGGTAAAGGTCCCTGGTTTCAATCCAGTGGCCTTGAATTTGAACCCAATGTACCAACAAATGGGCTTTTTTTCAAAAACACTGGCACCCCAAGTACTCACCTCATCGTTGAAATACCCTTGTAAAATGTAAAAAAAAGTGTGCATGTAAAAGTATGTAAAAAGTACTTATTTTTCCTTTTTACACATTTATTTAGAAATCGTGAGATGTGGTCTGGTGTGATGCAGGTTTCAGAAAAACATTTTCTTTATCGTGCCAATGTTTTGATCTTTATTGAGATCATCTTCAGGGCCTGGGATTTACAAACATTGTTTACATATAACAATTACATTTTGGATGTGGAAAAGTGAATTTATACAATGCAAAATATATTTTTTATGTATTCAATCAAAGTACACAGAAGACAAACGCTTTGAGTGAGTAGAAATACTTTGATTGAATAAATAAAAAATATATTTTGCATTGTATAAATTCACTTTTCCACATCCAAAATGTAATTGTTATATGTAAACAATGTTTGTAAATCCCAGGCCCTGAAGATGATCTCAATAAAGATTGAAACGTTGGCACGATAAAGAAAATGTTTTTCTGAAACCTACATCACACCAGACCGCATCTCACAATTTCTAAATAAATATCGATTAACAGTCACTAATCACCACACATTTTTACACATTTTTCAACTATTGTGTGTAAATAAATTCTTAAAAAAAAAAAAATCTGGTCCCTTGTTGAGTTAAGAGCTGGAAACTTCTGCGCATGTCTGTGATGGCCAGACCCTAGTAAAATACTTGAACTGTTTAGTCACAAGCCTGGTTCAAAAATGTAATGGAATGGTCAACTGAAAGTTTGGATTTGGGATTGAAGTGTAATGGAACACCAAAATTCAACTGTGCATGCCACTTTGCTGATAGTTTGGTCGCATGTTGGGACCTATTTTCTCTTATTTACTACTGGGCGATGGAGTACAATATTCCTCCCTTATAATGTATATGGACAATTTTACTTACAATATAACTAGTCTGATTGAGGGTCGCACGTTCTGGGTACTCGATATTCTACCATTTTCACTCTTGTACTACATACACACTCACATATAAATACATTCCCACAAAACAGTTAAAATATCTACATATTACAAAATTTAGTTTACCCTATACAACGGTACGATCGCTTGTTGCTCATTTCGGGGGTGTTTCACTGAATGTCAAGTATTAGGTATTTGACACATTTTCGCGCTCTGTCCTTTGATATGCCGCACAGATTTTGGAGCTACGATGAAGAGGAGAAAGTTAATTTTTTCTGGTCTTTCACACATATTTTGTTTTGAACTGCAGCCTTTCGAGCCTCCTGATCAAGTCACTGACTCTACTTTTATATGTATACTACTATGTATAAAATGCAAGCTTCTTGTTTACCTCAGATTGTCAATTACAGAATAGAAACAAAACATACAATATATATATACATANTTATAAATTATTTATAATATAATATGTATATAATATTATATTATTATAATATGTATAATATAATATATACATCACCACAAACACAGAAGTCTGGTAATATTCATTCCCCGGAGTATTGATATTCTTCAGGCGGTTTTGAACCCATTCTATTTTCGCTAATAACTTTTTTTACTCTCCAGATATCACTCACTCCAGAGTACTTGATAGTTCTGGGGGGGGGGGCTTTCCTTTCACGATAATAAATTACATTCATTCCAATCAATTACCGGATCTGTACCCTCTGCCGTGCCCCAAGACTATGCACAGGTCTGATGATTTGCTAAAATATTATCTATATGTCAAGCCTTCTACAATTGAAAAGGTGCTTGACTGTTATTCTCTCCTTGCTAATGTGACATTAATGTCTAATAAAAATGTTTTTTTCTTTTCCGTATAGTACATAAATTATACAAAGTTATGAATTATCAGCAGTGAAGTGTTTTTCTCATTTCAGCGGGTGGATTCACTCCTTGATGCTCTTGGGTCGCCAGAGACTGAAGAAGACACTTTCAGCCAAGTGTCCAGCCACGGTGATGTGCCAAGGTTTAAAAGGCTAAGGTATTGTATTTATTTAAATTAAAAAAAAATTAAAAATAACTATTTCTGTAGTTTGAAAACCTTGCAAAATAATGTGTGTGGAGTGAAATGTTTCAATCAATAAATATAATACTAATACTTGTGACTTTTTTTCATGGGGGGGGAGGTAAATAAATGGAAACTTTTTTAAATTTTATTATTATTATTATTATTAAGGTGATAAACCAATATGTGGGTTATTTTCCACTTTGTTAGAATGCAGGATAAGATGATCGTGGGTGAGGGGACACGGATGCAAGGAAACCCATCAACTGGACAAAAACAGGGCCCGACGTAGTGCACGGTCACCTTTTCTTTTCAATTATTGTATTCTTACCTATACAGAATGTATAGAGTGATGTGCATGCAGGAAACTTGTTTAAAAGGCTTGTTTATTAATAACTTAGCACCAATAAAAAGTTTTATATTTTTTAATGAATATTTTAATAATTGTAAAATAAAGTTTTTGTTTATTTTACTAAGGTCCATGCAAACAGACAAACCTAAAGTGACCCCTAGTCCTTTTCGTGGGTATCTTGCGAGTCAGCTGTCATGCACAACGTGTACGAACAAGGTAATAAAGCGTATTTTAATTAATCGGGAACAATTTTTTGATTAAAAAATGAATTTTCAATTTCAGTCGGCTGTTGTTTACGACAAATTTGACACCCTCTCACTTGCCCTGCCGGCGAGAAATGAGGTGTTTAAGTTGCAACATCTACTAGACAATTTTGTATCGGCCGAGATTGTCGAAGGCTTCGCCTGTGACCACTGCAACAAAGGCAGGTCTGCGGAACATAGCCCAATTCTCTCTTTAGCCTCAAAAGCAATTAAAATTGGAAAGGTAAGTTTTTCTTATTCTTCCTTTAGTTATTTCTTAAAATTATGTCTGTATCTTTTCTGAAATTTAAGAAACAAATAGTCAAATATATTAACTTGCTGTGGAGGCACAATTTGACATGGATTATTAAGATTTGTCTGGGCCTGGTAATCAATGGCAATCACAGTCAGTCAAGATCAAACTGGAGAGACTGTAAACTGCTTTTCACCTTTTTAAAATTAGTATAATTATTAGAGCAAAGAGGGCTCGAGTGTGATAACATTTTCAGTATCAGAAGTAAGGAAAATGACTGGCAGTGACATCAGCGAAACAGCTTATTTTTAGTTTATTTCTTTGTAACTTTAATTCATTAGAGTTTGTGTAATTTGTTTTGTTTTTAAGACCTGTAAAATTATGAACATGTAATTTGGTCATCTATGATCATCCTATCTACTCTTGCCAATTTTGTCTGTAAAATGCATTTCAATTTATAAAACTGGAAAAATAAAGATAGGCGGACTGGGATGATCATAGGCGGCTAGACTAAAGGTACATCACCTAGAACAAAAAAAAAAAAAAAAAAAAAAAAAATTGCACTTACTGCATCAACCTGGATAATGTGTGGTGTTTAGTGACAGTTAATTAATATTGTTTAGAGATCATGAGATGCAGTCTGGTGTGATGTGGGTTTAGTAAAACATTTTCTTTATCGTGCCAATGTTTCGATCTTTATTTAGATACATCTTCAGGGCTCAAAGTGTGTGTGTTTCTGTGTAGATTTGTCATGGTTGTGTATCCTCTCACACTCTCAACACAACACACAACTGTGACATGTGCACAGAAAACACATACCCTGAAGATGATCTAAATAAAGATTGAAACGTTGGCACGATAAGGAAAATGTTTTTCTAAATCTACTTCACACCAGACCACATCTCATGATCTCTAATTAACCTGGATAATCTTAACACATTCAGCTCGGAGAACGTACTGGTGCATCCTAAGTTAAAACCCAATGGGCCAATGGCGCGGTCTTGTGTTTCAAGAACCTTCATTTTCTATGGATGATTTGTGGGTGTTTGGTAACATTCTACCTGCTCCTATCTGGGCTCGTTTTGACCAAGCTATCCCATATTTCACCCAGTCGTTCCGATTCCTAGTAAAAAAAAAAAAAAAAAAAAAAAAATTATTTTTTTGTTACAAAATTTAGCAAAATCTTTATTAAACATGTAATTATATGTTATTATTGACATTTCCATGCATGTTTTAAAATTAAAATTTATTTATCAAAACTTATTTCTTACAGTTAAATTATTGATTTCATGTCCATATTGGAGCGGGGAACGCTGCCCGACGCAAATCCAAAGTCCAATTTTCCATAAGATTGTATTACCCCTGTGCACATCTGCCCGATGCCACGCAATGCTACCCTACTCTACGCCCTGCGATCCCCACTGTCCAGATTTTCGTCGGGTAGCATCGAGTACAGTCGAAGACAAAAGAACCGGGCACTCATATTTTTATTCAAAATACACACGTATTATTGTCGTTACATAAATTACAACACACTTATTTTAATATAAACCAAATTAACCAAGATCAAAATTCATTAGTTTTTACTAAAAAAATTAATTTTAATGGTTTAGTAGAAAATTGATCAAAACACCGGAATACTATTTTTTGATGTAATGAATTTAACAATTTATTTCATGGTTTTGCTCATAAAATTACACCATTTTTGTTGAGCAGCGTCCGAACAGGACACTATGGTTTCAATTTATTTTAAACTAAGTATATGTAATTTTGTTGTTATATTAATTACAACATTCTTATTTTAATTAAACTATTAACTATTATTATTTTACTAACTAAGTACTAATAAGTACTATTATTTTAATTAACCAAATTAAATGAGATCAAAACTTCATGAGTTTTTATAAAAATTATTTAATTATGATGGTTAGGCAGAAAATTTATCGAAACACCGGAATAAATTTATTTAAATTGTATAAACTATTGACTTTATTGGCTTAGAGAATAAGTTTTATTTTATTAAATGAGTGTTTTGATTGTTTCAGTTACCAAAATGTCTGTGTTTTCATATATCGAGGACATATATGGATTCAAATGGTTACATGTACAAGAGGGAGAATTACGTCGACTTTCCTGAATACCTTTCCATGGGCCATTATACCCATACGAGTAGTATGCTTAAAGAGAAAAAGGTGTCAAATATAATGTTAGCTTTACTTTTCTTTGTTCATTCCGATATTAATAATTTGTTTTGATTATTTTAGTTTAGGAAAGTAAGAACACCGTCGAGTGTCAATAGTCCTTTGTTTTATAAAGGAGGCCAGTCTTCGAGTGTGTCAGCGAACCTGGATTCTGAGCCGACACTCACTAAATACAAAGCCCTCGCTTCACCTGACCAGTCTAACAATTCAATATCAGAGGAAGAAGAATACGGAACGCCTGTGTCCTCACAGGGTTCAGGGTTGAACATCTCATTGCCAAATAACAACAATACTCTTTTTTCTCATAGTTCCTTATTTTTGGACAAAAGGTCTGGATTAAAAGTCCTCGGACCACTGCCGGTGAAAAAATTATTGACAAATGTTGTTTAGGTTGTTCGGTGGCCCTTATTACCGGCTGAAAGCTGTGGTCGAACACCGGGGAAACGTTGACACAGGGCATTTTGTGACCTACCGAAGAGGACCCCTTCAAACAGAAATTAGGCACAGGTCCAGTGAGTTACTCAACCAGTCAGAGTCAAGGTAGACCCGCATGGCAATCCTATCCCTAAGCTTTTCATACCTTTACAAATTAAATTTTAATTTTGTACACATTTGAATGACAAATTAAAAAATAATTATTGATAGTGGTTTAATTAAAAATAAACCACTAGTGATTTTTTACATTTGAGTTTTTAAAAAGTTCCATAATTTCCACGTTATATTAATTTCTTCGAGTAATATTCAGAATATAGTACGGCAGTTTATATTTTTTATAATTAAGATATATAACAAAATCAAATCTAAAATGTTATAGTAATTTATTATTGATTGTTATTATTATTAATTTTTAAGGGTGTTTTAACAGTCATTTCACGTCCTAACATTTAAACCTTCTATCTTAGGTTAGCTATATCCCTTCTGAGTGCTATAAAGCTCTGACTCCGGACATTCACTCATAAACTAATAGGTGTTGTTTTTATTTTCTTTGGACATCACTTATTATTGTGATCACATGGCATTTTGAACACCTACCTACTCTGTACCATTCACCTGCATATTAAGACACACATTTATGTGATTTGTAATGCAGCAGTAGCTTAGCCGCCTAATAAAATTATTCTACTCTTTAGTATTTTAATTTATTTATTTTTGTTATGGCCTTATGAACTTTGTATATTAGCCAAGGAGACATGTGCGTTATATGTGTATGCTATTATTTTTTTGGATGGGGAAGGGTAGCGTAAAATAAAGGGCCAGGGATGATGGTGGGAATCGAACCCACGGCCTCGGGTTCTAAGTGCCAAGAATCTACGCTAACTACTCTGCTACGAATTAAAATGGTAAATGACATTATATTTATTATTTCGAAAGGCAAGACTCCCAGCAACACCTTGCCCTTTAAAAATCCATATTTTGGAAGGGTTATTACAAATCATTGCCATAACAAAAATATGTTAATTATTATTATTTACCTGCATTAGTGTAATTAACTTCAATAACTAAAAAAGGAAGAACTAATATGCAGGCTGGTTTGCTGAGGTGTAAAAAAATAATTAGATGTTAGTAGACTGTAAATGGAGCAGAATGATGCAAAAAGGGTTTTCAAACTCACTACGATTAGAAGATATGATTTATTGATTTTTCCTCAAAAGATTGTCTAGACACACACACACACACACACACACACACACACACACACACACACACACACACACACACACACACATGTGCACGTGCGCATGCACACACACGTTCAACTTCTATTCAACCAAGTTGCTTGTTTTCAGTGAATTTATTAAGAAAAATCTTGAATTGGCTACAGAGTTCATGCTATTTACACAAACATATAAAGGCTTTTGTCAGGGTTAACTTTCGGATTCTTCTCCTGAAACTTAAGCTGTTATGATATAGGTGACCCTCTTCTTTCTTGAGTCGATTTCTTTCTTACTTGAAGATCTTGCAGGGTTGTGTGTAACGGTTCCATCTCATTTTCATCTCAAATTCTGCCCTGGGTCCCTCAGGGCTCTCACCTTGGGCTGATACTTTTTTAATTATTTTACAACGATGTTTCATTAATTTTTTGTTTTTCTTTGTACTCTTCTTTTTTTGCTTACAACCTAAATTTATATTATGTTTTAATCGGTCATATTAACCAAAATAATCGTTTTAAAAATTTATTATTTTTTATGTAAAGTATGGTTGAGTTAAAAAAAAGATATCTGAGCAGGACTTGGACCTATTACATCTGCACACCGGGGTTTGACACTAATTTTGAACTCAACCTCTCTTAGCATAAAAAATAATCAATTGTTTTCCAATATTTCTTCCATTGTGCGGACACTTACTTTTTTGGGGGGGAGGGGGTCCCACATTGCAGAGAAAGGCTGATGTGACCTCACCTAATTAAAGGGTGCAATTCCTTGGCTCCATACAGAACACAAGAATTAAACCCGATTTGAGAATTGTACTTGAACACGGCAGCGATTATTTCAGTCCCCTATTCCGAATCTTGGAGAAAATGGGGTTGTTCTATTGAGTTTAGTAGCTGTATGTTAGAGTGAATGTATTTATTAGTGTGAATGTGTGATGTGAGAGGGTTGACGGTGGAGTATCGAGAACCCTTTACTCAATTAGGTAAGTTGTATAATATATGTAAAGTGTTATGGAAGATTATCGAGTACTCCGTCACCCTCATAGAATGAATGGTATGTAAATAGCAATGAATGTATTTAAGAATGAACATGAGTATGAATGGGTTTGGAACTGCATGCGTTGGGTGCTGAATTGATCTAGATGTCGGCAGCAAACCGCCCCCCCCCCAGCTCAATCTCTGGCTGGGTGGATAAGTTCGAAGTCTGCCCCTGGAATGCCAATACCCAGGGTGGATAATTCCCAAGCCTGCCGGCAATTTATTGTAAATAGCAAAAGCCAAGTGCCAGTGGACCACGAGAAGGGAAGAGGGTCTCGGCATATGTTTGTATATGTGCGAATTTGAGCCTATATAAATCCAAATCCCAATCTTCCATTGGGGGTTGTGAATTATTTCAATTAGATTTAAATGTTTTCTCTACCTGGTGTTATAATGATTTGTGTTTCAATCAATCAAAACCAAAATTTATTAAATTTAATGTGTCTTTTAATCCGAAGGATTGAGATTCTCCTGGATGAAGTAGATGAAATAAATGACAGATATCTTAATAGTAAATGCAATTTTTGTCATCTCATTTCCAAGTTTAGAAGTAAGTCTTTAAAGATTCTATTTTGTCAAATATTTACTTCAGACTTCAGTAAGGGCTAGACTCAGAGGACTATATAACATATTCAGCAATGATCTCATTTGCAGATTATGTTATGACGAAGAAAGAGCCACTCATATCATCTGTGAATGTGAAGCAGCGGCGTAACGAAAACATAACCTAGTGAATGAAATTGTAGCAACGACAGACAATGACCTAATACTTTTGAGAAGAAGAATTGAGTCAAATTCACTGAACTAGGGAACTAGGAAGGTACAATAAGCTAGAAGGCTGCAATGCTTGGGAGCACAAACCTTGCTTTCTCGTATCCATCATCATCGTCATCAACTCCTTTGTTTTTCAAATGTTGTATCAATCATTGGTCCGCAGTCATCTTGAGTATGATTGTATTGTCTGGGTTCCATATCTTAAAACTGAGATCATTCTGGTTGAAACATACAACTACAAACTTGTCTTATAAATTTGGCAAACCTAATTAATTACCTTGCCTATGTCGATAGGCTTCTTTTTACCGGGCTTTAATCATTACGGCGTCTTGCCTGTTATACCTTCATATAGAAATTCTCGGATCTCCTTTTCGGAGATTCTCACAAGTCTTAGCGTGCAAGTTCCTCGACATTTTTTAAGAGGGGTTGAAACTTTTTTTTGTGGAGCACCATTGCACCGGTTATGTGAGGCCTTAAACGCTTAGCCATTTCGCCTCCCTGCAAAACTCAATTCCTGTAGACAATTCTCAAACTCTTTATATACTTTAAAAAAGAAGATATTTAATGCTTAACACTGTTACATGTTGTTTATATAAATTAATTCTTAACATTATTTTAACTTATTCTTTTGATTATGTTTTGTATGCGTATGTATGCTCTTTTTTTGGCTTTGCCTGTAGAGATTATATTATATATAAATAAATTTATATTATAAATAANTAAATAAATATAAACATCCTTCTATATTCCACATAATAAGAAAGCTAGGTTGTCTCTGTTTGTTCTGCATATCCTGGCTCGTTTTGTCAGTCATTTCGTGCATTTGTCATTTTTGTAAGTACTTGTTTTGCTAAAATGCAGTCAGACCCAAATGATGAGGATGGGCAGAGCAGGACAATCAGAGAAAACTAACTGTAATACATATTACTTATTTTACCAGCAGATTGAATGAGAGCAGTTTTCTTGTATATTACATGGTAGTACCTTCCTCACTATTTCTTCAAACTTATGTTGGCTAAACAAGAATTATTTATTTTATTCAACAGATAAGGAAATAAGACAAAAACTTCGATAATTTCAATGGTACTGACATCAAAATATTCACAAAGACAGGTCGTTGTTTCATTGCCTGCTAGTTAAGACATTGCATGGCTATAATGTTTAATTATTTAAGATTAAATGTTGAAATAGCAAAGACACTTGAATTAAATTTAATGTTCTATTTTCCATTATCCTCCTCAATGTTATATAAATTGTTGCAATATAATTTACCATTAATAATTCCTTATAATAATACCTTGACTTATTTGAACACTAATCTAGCAAAACTGATAGTGATTTTTATTTATAACGTTATTTTTGCTCAGAATAGTGTTTATTAATGTAAGACAATATTAATTTCACGTTGTAAATTTTATTTTTATTTTTGATTTCCCCAGGTGGTACTTTACTTCTGATGAAATCGTGAAAAACTCCTCCTTGGCTGATGCTCTCTCTGCCCATGCTTACTTGCTATTCTATGAAAAATGTGAGAAGATCAACTGAATCAAAATAGATTGTCTATTTACAACAATACCAAACATTACAATAATACCAACATCAGTTTTTTAATTTAGCATTTTTGTTTAGAGTAATTCGCTTTAAGGATTCTCTTTGTTAGGATAATTTATACGTCTGAATCGCATGTTGGAAATGCGACGAACCTAGAAGACTGTTGATTACAAAATGTAGTTTGTATACTGTATGATCGTTAAAAATTGTGCGCACTATGTGACTTTTGGAATATAAATCCAAAACATAAGTGTCTGTATAATTATGTATATGTAATATGTATATATAATATGATGTTCATTTTAATATAATAATTTTTCGTGCAGTATCTGTTTTTTATTTTGATTTTAATAATTGGTTTTTGAACTTTCCATTTTTATCTTAATTTGTAAAGAAATTTTTTTTTTTTCCTGATCACTAGAAATTAAACTTCTTTTCAGTTTTGCCTGTTTCCCTTGGGGACTCCTACTGCTCAACTTTGCCTGCAATCATGTACCATTATGACATTATGATTTACCAGGGTCAGTTACTGTTGGTTGGTATGCTCAACACCTGGAATCATTGGACGAGTGGTTGAAAATCTTCAATCTATGTTCTCTATGAACGGTAAGGAACTTAAAGCTGTATGGGAAAAGGAGAGGAGCAGTCACAGGGGCTCTTTAATCCCAAGATCCCGTGAGGATCTTTTTAATATGCTCAGGTATGTACCACTGTGCCTTCACTACTATACCAGCTGCTTGGGAGAAATGTCTCTGGTGTAATTTCCTTGAGGACTTCCCTTAACAGCCCATATTTACATGCCTTTAGGTACACTACTCAATCCAATGCGCTCACCATTTCATATGCCACCGTGAGACAGGACAAATCTACCTCATCTCGTGTCAATATCTGGCTGGAGTCTAGCCTGATTAATTGTTTAAAGGGGAGCTTGACAGTGACCTGGTATCCTGAGCCACAAAGACTGGTGATTAGGTTGTGGATGCACTAGCAGTGCCTTAATTTTCTGAGTGATTATTACAGGCGCGAGGACAGCACATTGGAGTGCTGCTGGCAGACTGGAGTCTGCCTTTCTCATTACATCCTTTGGATAACCTATAGGGGTTCCACAATAGACCTGTCTTAAGTCGCAGCAGAGGAAATAATTTTATTCTGCGTCAACCCACCAAAAATCCTTTCGTCTTTTGTGGATTTTATGATTTATCATATGTCCTATTAAACTGGAAATAAGCATACTAAGCCCAAATGGTTCCAAGGCAGGCCAGTCCTTGCTAAAAAATATTAATTATTTATTTAATTATGTACTCAATAAATAAATATCTTATATTATAAATATATGTGTGGTGTTTAGTGACCGTTAGTTAATTACTTGGAGATCGTGAGATGCGGTCTGGTGTGATGTAGGTTTTAGAAAAACATTTTCTTCAATGTGCCAATGTTTTGATCTTTACTGAAAACAGCCCTGAAGATGATCTCAATAAAGATTGAAATGTTGGCATGATAAAGAAAATGTTTTCTAAAACCTACGTCACACCAGATCACATCTCACAATCTCCAAATAATTAATAAGTAGATATAAATTTAATAGCTGTTAACTGATAACCGTCATTTTGCTTAAATATATGTGAAGATAAATTTTTAAAACAATATTCAGAATGACCACTTGTCGATTGCATGTATGATGAAGTTTTGTTTATAAGAAGAAAACACATGTTCCCAGAACAATAGAATGTTGCACGAATTTACTTAGCAGTTGACAATTTCAGCTGACCATTGTTTAAAATTAATTTTTTGTTTTTAATTCACAAATATTTTGTAAAATATAGATTATGAGTGGTGAAAAATATAGAAAGTCTAGTTTACACTCGCTTAAGGAAAGATCTGTTGTAGCGAAGGTGTTCAAGTTGACAAAGTCGGTACAGACGGGGGAGTTCCAACAGGTCAAGCAACTGGCAGATAATGGTGTTCAGGTGTACATTCCTAAAAAGCATCATCTGAAACCGGCAACGCTGTCGAAAGAGACCCAAGTCCCTTATAAATACCGCCTGCAGCCTTTATTCCTACTGACGATAATTTACAGCATTTTTCTGTCTGCGACTGTCGCCCTACTTTCCTATGAACAGTTATACAACATTTTTGAACATTATACGAACTACTGCAACAAACACTCAACGATTGACATGGTCTTTTATTTCTTCAAGTATATAAGTGCTCGGTTTTTTGGTATATTTTCAATTTTTTGAAGAATGGGATGCTTACCCTTAAGAGGTAGGAATAAATGATATTTTCAGTTTTAAAAATACCAAATTTTTTTTAAAAACAGATTTCTAATTGTCACTCAAACTGAAATGGCAACAAAATCCCCCCACCCCAAATAAAAAGAAGTGAATAATTGTTATGATCTCGAATAATTATTGACTCATAAGGCTGGAATTAATTGTATTTGGGTATTATTGTCGGTTTAGTCTGTCAGACATATGCATTTCATCTTTAGCGTTTGTGTGCTTTTTTTGTTTGTTTGTCCTACTTGTAATTTGCAAACCGATCAATAAAAATAGTGAAATCAATCAGACAGACAAACTATCAATAATAGGCAGACAAGGAAGATCAGAGATGATTAAATCAGAAAACTGTTGTTTTAACAAGTTTAAACTTTTTCATCATATTTGTTGTAGCTGTTTAAAAATTTAACTCCAAGTGATTGTAACCATGTTGTTTTAGGAGTGAGACGATAAAGGAATTTGTTTCTAAAAGCAAGTTCAAAAATCAATTCCATCTAGAAAAACCGGGCTAGCACAAACGATCCAAAAAGTGAGGTTAACAAATGTGTGAAATACAATAAAGTAACAAACAATTTTGCAGGTGGACGTCATGACTAAACACTGAAAGAAAGATTGGATTTTGTGTTTATGTTAATCACCGTGCCTGAAAAACTCATAAGGATCAATACAATCGAATACAGATGAATAAGATTAAATTGTAATTTTTTAACTTTCTTTGAATAAGCGAATCCAATTCTTAACCTAGAAGGGTTGAAATGTTGAAATATGCTGATCTCAACTAGGGATTATGCATTAGTAGGTTTTATTCAAGTTTTAAACATTTATAGTCTAACAAACGTTGAAATTTGTTTCTCAATTATTTTATTTTTTAATGTTTATGATTATTTTATTATTATGATTATTATTTAATTATTTTATTACTGCATTGTACCCAATTTAAGTTAACAGATGTCAATGTAATGTTGAAGATGACGTCCACCAAGGAGTATGTATTATGATTTATGCAGGCTTCAAACATTATTTATTTCCTTCAAACATTCAATTGATGTTATTTTTACATTATTGAACATATACTGCATATGGGCATATATGTTGGAACATACACGGGCTCTTTCTATTTTAAAATTAATCCAAACGTAAATAAAAAACCTTGGTTCTACCTGAGCACGACCAATAAAGGAAATTGTACGATAATAACCAGAATGAGACTTAATGATGGAATATGTGGCGCTTATTTACAGAAGATTGGTCAGAGGAACAGTAAAGCGTGTCCGAGCTGTGGGATAACAGAAGACCTAGAGCACATATTTATGGTTTGTTCACAGTATTAAAAAGAAAGGATAGAAATGTTTGATGAACTGTATAAACTAAAAACGTTGGACAAACCATTTGATTATAGATGTCTACTGTTTCCTAAAGATCTTTGTATTTATACAAATATCGTTAAATTTGTCCATGAGTGCCACATAACTATTTGAGATGATAACTGTCTCTGGCCTAATGCCTGTGGGCGGAGGGGTCCTTGTCTGGTTGCTGGGGGTGTGTGGCGCTGGGGTGGCTCTGGTACATGGACATCGATAGCCGTCCCCGATCGGTTTGGAATGTGGGTGGCCAGGCACACACGCACATCCCACCAGGAGATCGGACGTACTTGAGTCAAATTGGAATTTGAGGTGGAGTCCCCTGGTGCCGCATTTTTCCCCGGTGGGCGGGCTGGGGCTCTCTTTTTCCCGGGTGTAGGTGTGGACTTTGTGCTAATGGTGAAAACCAAGGGCAAAAAAAAAACACAAAAAAACAACAAACATATACTGCAGCATGTAATTTTATTTTTTAACAAACGTTTTCGACCTCATGGCATGATTCCTCCTCAGTGTTAATTTACAATTGTCTATGCAATGGACATCCCAACTATATATACTTTAATATATTGAACATTGTTGGTTGTTGGTATTGTTGGGAAGTGCACTGGATAAACAATTGTAAATTAGCACTGAAAAGGACTCAAGTTATCAGGTTGAAAATGTTTTATTAAAAAATAAAATTGTGTGGTGCCTTGAGACCCCTGGTATCGGTCGGCTGATAGTTTCTGGTCAAGTCCTCGACATGGCCAATGTTTAAGTACAAGGCCAGAAGGGGGAGAAAAAAAATCCATGTGCAGTTAAGTTCAATAAACTATAAAACAATTTTTTTATTATAATGGTATACTGGTATACCTTGAGGTATGAGTATGAGAATATTTCAAATTCTTCCCTATGATAAGATAGAGAATATATTCATCGATTGAAATCGAAAATTGCATCTTTTTTTTTTTTTACTTCATTTATTTGTATCTATAACTGTATATGTATTATATACAACCAGCAGATTGGATAATTTATGTTTGTGGCATTACAGGCTTTATAGAGAAAGCTATCCACTGGCAGCCACTCTGGATTAATAAAATGATATTAATCATTTAAGAGGTCTCATCCATATTCTTTGCAGATGTTTACGTGGTAATTATGGGGAATAGAATCGTATTTGTGTGTTAGTATGATTTTTAATTTACTATGAAAATGACTAATATGTTTTGATGGAAGTGTGTTATTATTTACGTGAAAAGAGGCAGAAACAATTAGTCTTAAAATTTTGGATTGAAAACTTTGTAATCTTTGAATATTGGAATATTTGGCCGATCCATAAACTTGGCACCCATACATCTGAATGGGTTTGAGTAGATGTATGCTTCTCAAAAGTTTTTATTTTAATGGCAATTTTGATTGCCAGTTTAGTAGTAGGTTATAAAGCATTTTAAATCGTTGGTTGAGTGTTCGTTTTTTTAATCGTGTGTGTAGATTCCAAGTTAATCTTCTATGAAATGTATGTCCTAAATAGTTAACTTTGTCAGATATAGGTACAGGTTCATTTTATACGTATGTGCTAGGACAAGTCTCACGACGGAGTGTAAAGGTGATATGTTGTGACTTTGAGGGATTAAACTTTATTTTCCAAAGATTGCTCCATTTTTTATATCTTGCTTTTAAAAAGTTTTAATCAAATTGTTTGAGTTTTAATTTTGATTTTAAAATTATTACAAGTAAACCAGCAGTATATTTTCAATAACCTACAATATAAATAACAAATCCATTATGTTTCGTGGTCCGATTGACCAAATAACTTCTTTCAATTAATTAATCTTTATGTAAGGCATTGGTTGAAATGAAAAAGTTAGTGTCATGAGCGGGATTCGAACCCACGACCTTCGGCTCAATACGCTGCTGCTCTAAGCACTTGAGCTATCGTGACTTTGATGCACTCGGACACAATTTTCATTTCAACCAAGACCTTACCTAAAAAGAATAATTAATTGAAAGAAGTTATTTGGTCAATCAGACCACTAAACACAGAATCGAATCTTGATTGAAAAATGGCAAAAAGGAGGGAAAATTCGAAAGGTTGTAGGATGGGGTGTTGGTGTCCGAGTGGCGTATTGAGCCGAACGTCGTGGGTTCGAATCCTGCTCGAGACTCTGTTTTCATTTCAACCTATACCCTACATAAAGATTAATTAATTGAAATAAATAATAAAGTTTTAAAAATAAACAGCAAAAAATTTAATTATCATAAAATTGTGGGTATTTAGTTCGTGGATTATTATTTATTAAAATGATTAAGGACTCCATAATTTAAGTGAAACACGGTGTAAAAACCTGGATAGCACAGCATGGGTCAAGCAAGACAGTCTTCAGTGGGTGTTCCGAAAGTATAGATGTGTAAACATGTATGCAGTACATTTAATATTCAATTTTATTGAATAATTTACTGAAAATACATATTCTATTTTGTAAGAATGGTATTTCAGTTAAATTTGCGATTAGTGTCCTGTTTGCGACAAGGTCGGTTAATCGCGAGATAAGGTGGTGTTTATAATTGATTGTTTATTTATGTTCGACAACGACGTTCGGTGAGTTGTTGTTCTTTTGTCTGTGCCTCTTTATTTTACGTGTCGCGATACAGGACAGAGGACAGAATTAAAAAGTCAGAATCTTCAGACCAGGTTGAATAATTCATCGATCGGGGGGTCGAAGTGGCAGGATCATTCGTTTCTTGGTCGCCGGTCTCTGATGTTCTCCTCGTCCACGATGCGGAGGTGTCGCGAGTTCATAGCGAAAATGTGCGACGCCACGACGGGCATCCCGACGAAGAACGGTCTTCCGATTTTGGGCACGTCCCTCTCGATCATCGCGTCGGGATCCGCCCCCAAATTGCACAAATACATCCACCGAAGGCATGAGGAGTCGGGCCCCGTCTTCAGGGAGAACATGGGCACCCACTCGGCCGTCTTCGTTTCCGACCCGGAAATTATGCGACTTATCTTCTCCGTAGACGGCAAACATCCTAGACATTTTGTCCCCAGACCCTGGAGTTTATTCAACGAAATACACCACTCCAAAAGGGGCCTATTTTTTATGTAAGTTATAAAGCAAAATTGTTAATGCTTATGTTTTTGTATTAATTATACGCTTATTGCATAATTGTAAATGTCAAAATTAACCAACCAGGGAGAATACAAAGAGAAACACCTTTTCCCATCCATTTTAAAGAAACATTAAAAAGGTGATTGGACCACCTTAAAACTCATAAAATCGACTGTACTTTACAGGCATTCCAAAAGAAATTTTTTATTTTATGAGGCTAAATAGCTTCGGAAAATGTATAATTTCGAAGCCGAATGTGTGCTTACTTCAGATGCCAGAACCTGTTTGTGCCTAAAGCTTCGCATTTTTAGAACAGGTTTTCTCTGTTACTTCACAAAAAAGTCCCATTTTCGTCGGTTGCCATGGACAAACAGCACTTTATTATTATTATTTTTATAGAGCTAGTTTTATTTATCAATAAAATTAAAATTTTTTTTTTCCATCTTGCTAACTCTGATTCCAGTAGTTTATGAATTTCATTCTTTTATGCTGCCTGTCATTGGATCAAAGGAAGGAGGGGGCTCATATTTCATTCAGGCGACTGATATTTAATCCTTTCATCTCCCGATATAGATTTAAGTTTTTTATTACCGTGGCGCTTACATCAAAGACACTTCCAGAGCTGTCTGAGGGCGTATATTTTTTCTTCTTTGATGATGAATATAGAATTAAGGGGGCGATTCACTTTTGAACGTGCTCTGTTAGCTCTAATCCTTCTATGAATTTGATTGCAACGTTGTTGTATTACAAGTCAAAAACATCGTAAAATAAATGTGCCAAGGTCTGTCCAGCTTTCTTGTAGAATCAGCATATCTCCTTCCTTTCCTTTTCTTTGTTTATTTTACAACTTCATAAAACATATTGTCTGATTTGATTGATTTGAACGGCCACACCCAGTGAAAATGGCCGTAATTGGTCATTATGTCATGAAGTTAACGGGAGACCCTAGAGTTTCCGAAGTTATATTTTATCTCTAAGGTGTATCAGCATATCCAGTGAGCTGTTTATGTTTCCCAACATTTGACATTTGAATTTGCTCTTCAGAGCATGTCCTATAGCCGCTTGACTATCAGACTCGATAGCTATTCCTTATTTTTAAATCGTCCGTTCAGATTGAATTGAGCCTATCTACATCAAAACACATGACATACCGACTCTAGTACAAACCGACGGGTTTTGAGCATTTTATTTTATGAATCTCAACTTCTTGCATTCTCGGAAGTAAGCCGTTTTGCTTAAACTCGCACATGCAATATAATATAAATTCTCTCATCGGGTTGGTGCTGCTAACACTGCTTCAAAACCGGGTTTACCCTATATTTTTAAGGATCCCTGATAAGTAGAAATGTTTCGAAACCTCACAGACAATGAGACTCAACATTAAACAGATGGATAAGGGGTAAGTCGAGAAAAGTGAATAATAAATAGTAAACGCTCTAAATTCTTCCATTCAGAGATTCTCCTGTGCTCAGATTGAGCATGGCTTCTTTTGCAGTTCTTATTATCATGCTAATCTTGTAGAATTGTCGCATGTCTTGGCTAAGTATTTTTTATTCATCAGCTGAAGGACATCGATGCCCCCGTGTCGCATACATACACGAGCATCTGTATTTTAACGAGTTTTTATATTTGGTGTTTGGCTAGTTTTGTTTGCTTGTTGATTTACATACTTCTATAGGACGGTCATCCCCATGAAGGCATCCAGAGAAGAATTGCCGGTTTGTATCCTGAGATCCTTCTGAATATCGCCTAGATGTAGATGTAGATGTGTTGGTCGCTATTGTATCCCCGTTCTGTGCCTACAGCACACCGGTGAATTCTATTTTGATCAAGGAACTTGATTAGTAGGCCCGGTCTCAGAGGTTGAATCTCTTCTTTGGTCACATTGTACATCCCAAAGCACTTCCTCCTGCGGGCAGGTGTAGCACCGCAGTTTGTTAGTAGGTTTATTAGTGTCTCCTCTGCCTCTTTGCAGAAATTGCATGTTCCGTCTTGGATTATTCAATCTTCTTTAATTGTCCATTTAGCTTGCAGTGTCCTGTTAACAATCCTGTTAGGATTCGAAGTTTTTTCCTGCTTCCTTTGATACATTCGGTCACTTCTTTCCTTCCGAAATTTGTTAGGAGATTCTTGGATTGTTTGTGTCCAATGAGTGAATTCCATTCTTCCTTCATTTTCGTTTTGTCCTTCTGTCTGACGTACTCATTGATAGTGTGGGTTCCTATGCTACAGAAGAGCTCGGGTCATATCAGCGGTATAGCAGCTCTTTTCCTGGCAAGGGTGTCCGCTTTCTCGTTGCCTTCTACTCCCATGTGCTCTGGGACCCAGCAGAGGCTGACTTTGTTCTGCGTACCTAATAAGTTTAATTTGGTTTTGCAGTTCAACACCATCTTTGAACTAAGGATGTTGGAGCTTAGTGCTTTGACTATCTGACATGATAGCTATGTTCTTGTTTTTCTACTCTTTAGTCAAGTTGAATTTAGGACATCTCTCGATCACTTTAGCTTGGAAGATACTGGTGTGTTTTCCCATGAGTTCTGAATATTTGGTTCCAGGACCGAATATTCCTACCCCTGTACATTCTTATGTTCTAGATCCATCTGTGTACCAAAAGATGGGGCCATTCTTAAAGGAGATTTTTTCTTCTCATTATATCACCTATGAAGTTATAATTATTATAGAACCAAGGTCGTTATCTTCATTTTTCAGTTCGATGGTCAAAAAGTCATGCAAACTGAAGTGAAGTTAATACTGTGGTTGGTTGCGCAACAGATCATTTGTCTGGTCAACAGTCCTTGGATTGCCACAAAAGGTTTCTTTACAATTTTCTCTATCTATATCGTCTTCATAGTCTTGATTATTTCTTTGACTTATGGCGTCTCAAGCACTTCACACAGGATGGCACAACCTCCCACCTTCATCTCAGCTTTCATTGTATTATTTTAATATTGGTGCTGGGATATTCATAAATTTATTTGTTTTGTTCTGATACAGGGATGGCGAAGAATGGCTGGCTCATAGGAAACCGCTGAACAAACATTTTTTAAAGAAAGACGTCATAAATAGATTGAACGATGTGCACACCGTTGTAGTCGATGATCTGATCGGCCGTTTGAAAAAATACGAGGGAGGTGAAATCGAAAATCTCAACTTCGAGTTGTATCGGCATTCCCTGTCTTGTGAGCCTGCGATTAAATCTCAGCTAAATATGACCTAAAAACACTTTATTTTTTACAGTCGTAATCGGCAGCTTACTCGGCTCCTCCTACATCGAGACAAGGAAAGAGTATTTCGACAAATTGTCAGAACTGACGGAAATTTTCATTTCTATTTTTGAAACCACTTCAAAATTGATGGTGACACCCGTCGACCTTGTTCAGAAACTTGGGCTACCGCCATGGAAGAAATTTGAAAAGGCAGTTATGGATTCGCTGGAGTCCAGTAAGTTCAATTTTTATTCCATACATATATTTTTAACCGCCTTATGGGTAGTGTTCAATTTTCTTGTCGCTCCCGAGTAAACGATTTGTTATTCCACACAAATGACAGCGAAAGTTATTGAAAAACAGAGAAGCTTCTATGTACAGAAAATTACGACCATCACTGTTATCAACTGAACGAAGACAAATTCTACCGGATAAAAGAGGACTCCACCAAGGAAGAACTTAAAAAAAAAGTAAATCCAAGTGATTAGGGTACATCAAGTATTACACCCTAGTTCAAAAACCTTTCCCTATATTTTGAAGACCTTAAAAAAATGACGATACATTCAAGCTACTACAGTACTTTCTACTGCATCACCACCTACGCGGACGATACTGCAATTTTGTCCTCTAACGCGAATACTATCCAAGGTACTTCCAACATCCAAGAACACCTTGAGCTTATTGAAGACTAATGCAAAAAGTGGAGGCCAAAGACTGAATGGAGAAAAATGTACCCAGTGAACGTTCACATTGAAAAAACAGTCTTGCCTTCCATTGTACATCATCAACAAAGAGATACCGCTTTCCATTCAAGTTAAATACTTAGGACAGTACCTAGGGAGCTGACTGATGTGGAATCCCCACACAAAACGTAAAAGACAACTTAACAGAAGACTCGGACAACTACGTAGACTTCTAGGACCAAAATCCGTCTTGACACTAAACTAACCTTAACAAGATTTTACTGTGACCGCTTTGGACAAAATAACGACACATTCAAGCTACTACAGTATTTTCTACTGAATCACCACCTACGCTGACGATACCGCAATCGTCGGGTTCTTCCGATACCGGAAGTATTGGGTTCTTCCAAACCATCCAACGCATCCAATTCTCAGAGCTCATTTATACGTCACTAACCTCACTACCCACAATGACCTCAACATTCCTTTTATCAATGAACTGATTTATTCCCGATTCGAGAAGTTTCACACCAACCTCTCGATCCTCACCCTAATCTTATTGCTCGAGCCCTCTTTACACATTTCCATCCCGAGAACCCGCCACGTCGCCTTAATCGACGATGGCTTCGAGACCTCCTTGCCCTTATCGGCAATCACTGAGTGTATTGGCTGGTTTCTCATGGCGTGTATCTACTGGGTAAGACTGGCATTATGGATAGTGAAAAATAATAAAAATAAATAGTTTTTGCCCATCTTTTGTCATCGAAGAGTTTGTCAGTTAATTATAGTAGTTAGATCGTCTCTGATACTGGTCTGTCTATCTGTAGATCTATGAATTTGAAATAAATTTCATCTGGTCGGTCTGTTCACTTTTAAATTACTCGTGATCCTAGTTAAACTTTAAATTCCAAAAGTTTCTCAGCTTATAGGTTATATATTACTTTCCGGATGTAAAATGTCAAATTGATGAGATTCAAGACTATGAAGTTCATCATGTTAAGCGGTAAGGTTTGCCGATGCATGCGCTCGTTGAACTGATATGATTGTTAATTAAATCCAGCGCCTTTTTTTTGATGTAATAATAAAGTGGGAAGTTTGTGGGCCGACAAACAGCTGGGGTCATCGCCGGCCCTCTGCGTGTTTTCCTTCTTTTTCTCTTCTTTCGCGCATATTTTGTTTTGAACTGCAGCCATTTGAGCGTCTCGATCTGGTTACTGTCTCTCTGATTTCAAATTTATACTACGTTGATATCCTAGAATGCTAGTCTCTCGTTTGTACCTCAGGTTGTCAAATACCTAGAATAGAAACAAAACATACAATATAAATACATCACCTCAAACAGATGTCTGGTCACATTCACTCCCCCAGAGATATTCCTCGGGGCGGGGTTATAAGAAACCCCTTCTTTTGATGAAGTTCTTTGATTGATCATTTTATGTATGGAACCTGTTCTTATATAGTGTATATTTTAAATATTGTTTTAGGTCGCGGAATCGTGAAAAGAATGATTGTCCAGCAATCACCCAACGGACTGCTGGATAAAATCATGGAAGAAATCAGCAATTTTGATCAAATAGTCGCAATCGTGGTCGATCTATTGATCGCTGCCGGCGATACGGTACACGATAGTGAAAACTAGCTCAAGAACTATTTTAACGAGACGATTTTTCTTTCGCAGACAGCTATTGCAAATCAATGGGCCATTTATCTTATGGCCAAAAACAGGATTTATCAGAAAAAGTTGCTTGAAAACCCGGAATTGATAAGGGGCGTTTTCAGGGAAACGCTTCGCCTCTACCCATCGGCGATCTTCGTCACAAGATACATGCCCGAAGATGTTACGTTAAAAGATTATACGCTCAAAAAAAATGTAATCAAAAGCCTGTTTCGAGATCAGTCGAGGGTTAAAAATTGTACACATATTCGATTAAGTGTTTTAATTGTTCAAGGATCTCGTTACACTGTCGCTTTACACATCAGGCAGGAATGGGGAAGTTTTTCCAGACCCAGAAACGTTTTTACCCGAGAGGTGGTTGCGCAGCAACGAGAAGCAGAATATCAATCAGGCCAACAGTTTTTTACCTTTCGCCATGGGTGTACGATCTTGCATCGGTGCCAAACTCGCGCAAGCTCATATCACGATGACCATCCAAGAGGTCAGGCAATATCCGACAAAAAAGTCGACAAAAAATAATACGGAAATTTGTTCTTGCAGGTGACCAAAGCTTTTGACTTGACCCTGAAAGAAGAGGTCGAAATGATTCTCAAGTTAGTTCCTGTGCCGCATAAACCAGTCAGAATTCAAATAAGTTCTAGGAAAAACAGTTAATTGCAATTATTTGTTGCGATGAATGATGAATTCTCATATTTTTCATTTATATTGTACTGAACAATAAGATTACTCTTTTTATAGTATTAACATTTAACATTTTTTATTATTTAGATTATTTTGTTTTTAGTTTGCGGATTTTGTAGTGTTTTTAACTAAATATGATTGTCTTGTGATAAATAAACTGGTTCGAATTAATTAAATTTAGAATGAACATAATAAATAGTAATACATTTATGTTTTAGTGGTCAATTGACCAAATTACATCTTTCAATTAATTATTCATTTTATGTAAGGTCTTGGTTGAGATAAAAAAAGTCATTGTCACGAGCGGGATTCGAACCCTCGACCTTCGGCTAAATACACCGCTGCTGTACCACTTAAGCTGTCGTGACTTCGATCCTCTGAGGTGATCCTCCTGTTGTGACCAACTCTCCATCTCAATATCTCTTCACTAACAGCTCCCCGTGGCCACTTCATATGTCGCTGAGAATCGAATGCTGATTACACGACATTTGAAAAATTTTTACGCTTGGCTTGAAAAATGTTTCAAATAGAGTGAAATTTGAAAAATGGCAAAAAGAGGGAAAATTCGAACGGTCGGTTGAGATGGAGAGTTGGTGTCCGAGAGGATCGAAGTCACGATAGCTCAAGTGGTAGAGTAGCGGCGTATCAAGCCGAAGGTCGTGGGTTCGAATCCCTCTCGTGACACTGACATTTTATCTCAACCAAGACCTTACTTAAAAAGAATAATTAATTGAAAGATAATAAATAGTTTCTTAATAAAAGTCTGACAATATCCCTCAATATCTCACTTTCCATGTTTCAGTACGCAAATAATACATATAATACTGAATGATGGATGGTCATATAACTATGATTTTTTTATTATTATTTGGAGATCGTGAGATGCGGTCTGGTGTGACGTAGGTTTAGAAAAACATTTTCTTTATCATCAGGGCGTGAGTGAGTACAAATACTTCGATTGAGTCTAAAATTTCTGTCATTGTATAAATTCATTTTTTCACTCTTACATGTATGTGTATAATTTAAACAATGTTTGTAAATCCCAGGCCCTGAAGATGATCTCAATAAAGATCGAAACGTTGGCACGACAAAGAAAATGTTTTTCTAAACCTACGTCACACCAGACCGCACCTCACGATCTCTGAATAATAAAAAAAAAATCATAGTTGTATGACCATCTATCATTCTGTGTTATTTATAAGTTATAGTTTCGATAGGAGAAAGTAAGTTTTAAAAAAAAACATTCATTTAATATAAACTTACAAACTTTTACACATTCAATACAAGAGTTCTATTGAAGTACGTATCTAGTTCGGAGTCCAGAGTGGATCTGAAGTAGAAGAGGGGTCTTGATGCTTAGCTCGATAGTTTACATCAGCATTTATTAAGTTGACTCCAGGCATTCTCAATGTGTACTACCAGTCCCAAGATCGTGTTATAGGAAATGTACAATTGATTAAATATGGTTTGTTTAAGACTAAGTTCTCTGTAGATATTTAAATCTTGGTTTAATTTAATTAAATTTGATTTGATTTCTTTGTTACTTTGGTTATTACCTCGAAAGTATTATTGAATTCTTCAATAATTTCTTTGTTAATGGTGTGTTGTGATGAAATTTGAGCTTGTAAGTCATCTTGCTTCTTTTCTAAATGTAATAACATTTCTTTATAATTCACTACTTTCGTGGTCCGCTTGACCAATTAATACATGACAATTAATTAAGGTTTTTAGTTGAGATGAAAAAAAGGTAGTGGCACGAGAGGGATTCGAACCCACGACCTTCGGCTAGATACGCCGCTGCTCTACCACCTGAGCTATCGTGACCTCGATCCACTCGGACATCATTTTTCATCTCAACTAAAAACCTTAATTAATTGTCATGTATTAATTGGTCAAGCGGACCACGAAAGGAGTGAATTAATGATTTAAAAATGAAGTACACTTCACTAAAACTCTCCGTCGCCATTTCAATTGTCGTTGAGAATCCAAACCGATTACACGACATTTGAAAAATGGCAAAAGGAGGGAAAACTCATAAGGTGGGGTTGAGATGGGGAGTTGATGTCCGAGTGGATCGAGGCCACGATCGCTCAGGTGGTAGAGCAGCGGCGTATCTAGCCGGAGGTCGTGGGTTCGAATCCCTCTCGTCCCACTAACTTTTTTTCATCTCAACTAAAAACCTTAATTAATTTTCTTTATAATATTTACCATCGTTAGCATCTAAATTGCCAATGACAAATTTGAAAATATTACCAAGACCATTGATTAAACCTCTTTTGTATCTTCTATCATTATGGTTAGATTTCAAATTTTTCATAAATCCTATCTCTAGTATAATTGATTAACTTACAATAGTTATTAAGAGTATCTTAACCTGTATATCATTATTAGATTCCTTATCAAGTAGGTTTTTATCGCTATATAGATTATTTACCATACTAAGATGCATATCATCAATCTAATTTAACTAAAGTAATATAATTTATCAATCTCAAAATAATGTATAAATGTGTGTTCTGGCTTTTGCATTCTATCTTCCCCTAGTTGGATTGGTATTATTCCAGGATTGGTTGTTATATTTTTAATATCAATCCCATTCAAGAGACCAAAGAGAGTGATTAAATGAAGATGATGAAGAAAATATTTTTCTAAACCTACGTAACTCCAGACCGCATCTCACGATCTCCAAATAATCATGAATTAACTGTCACTAAATACCACACATGATTTTTTTCATCAAAATTATTATATATAATATTATTAATTTTAATGAAACCCATTTCCTGACTAATCCTACTTGTTGAAGTTGAATTGAGTTCCTCCGTTAGATTTCACCTTCGCCTAATGTGGGTCAACTGATGTTGTTATTAAGGGTAAATTTAACAAGAGGGAATCCATTTGAAATTCCTATCAGCCGACGGGTATTGGGTGTTAACGCCGAGACAAAACCGATTGGTAACTAACGGAAGACTCGAGGTAATTGCCTGAGGCGGATTATTGGAGAATCGTTTTCGTTTAAGCTAAATAAAATTAGAGACTTTCCTTCCAAAACGAATGCCGTCGGGGGTTGGGGGTTGGACGTGGAGACTTCTATTAAACAGTCGTCGAATGAATATGGACGACACATGCACCTGATTGAAATGACTTAACCACTCGGCTCAACAGTAAAAACGATCATGTGAACATAAAAGACTTAAATATGAAAAAGAAGATTCAAACTCGTATCAAGTTCATATTACACCCGTCTTATGCAATCACAGACACGTATTTAATAATTTTAAAAAGCTTATAGCTCGTATTCAGGTGGAAGGAGTTCTACAACCTGATGATGAGCTATAAGCTTGAAATCCGGATCATTAAAAAAAATTACTGTGTGTATGATCTATCTTTTTCAAAAGATTAAACAACACACTCATTCCACCATTTATCATTTATACATGTATCCTTATTCTTCAAGGATTTTTTTTCAATCCTCCAATTTTTCCAAGCGCTGAATTTGCTTTTCTCTACTATTTTGCCTTTTTATATGTTTCTTCTATGGTCATCGACTCACAAACACTACACCTCTACACATTGAGGTCAAGGCTAAAGCACTAACCAGCTGCTATAGATTAATTAGTGAAGGTAGCTGGTATCATAAGTGAAATAATATAGGACACTCGAAAATTTTACATTTATTGAGTAAGGTCAACAACCAACTACTGGGTGTAAGCGATAAAAAGGTGAAAACACCTTTAGGGAAAAAGTACTTTCAGGTATTTACTCCCTGTGACTATAACTATAGGTCTGATGACCACCGCAGCCTAGATTGCTTCACCGATGGCTCACTCATTAAGGATAAGGGAAGTGGTGCTGGAATACACATACCTAAATTAGGGATCAGCATCTCCTATCCTCTTGGTAATAACACCTCGGTCTTTCAGGCAGAGGTCTGGGCCATTAATGTCTGCTGTAGAACACTGATGGATAACAAGATTAAGGGAAAAGATATTAAAATTTTTTCCGACAGTCAGGCCAGTCTAAAATCATTACAAAAAGAACTATCAACATCTAGACTGGTAGAGGAAACCGTTGAACTCATTAATAGGACTATCACCAGGTATGAGAATAGGGTAACCCTCGTATGGATACCTGCTCATAAGGGGCACTATGGCAATGAGGAGGCGGACAGCCTGGCCAAGGAAGGTTCAAATACTGAGTTCGTCGGACCACAACCGGTATTACCCCACTCTTTAAGCACAGCAAAAGAGAGTATAGGTAGCTGGGGCATGAAACAATTCCTAAAGGAATGGAATATGTCCCCAGGATGCAGACAATCGAAGGAGTTTCTGAAGGAAATCAAACCTAAAGAATCGAAATGGCTATTCTCTAACTCTAGGAGGGGAATAAGGAGGCTGATAGGTATCCTAACGGGCCATTGCCCCTTGAGAAGACACCTCTTCATAATGGGTACTCTACCAGACCCCTTCTGCCGCTTCTGCGAAACAAAAGAAGAAACGGCCCGACACTACCTCGCAGAATGCGATAGGTATGCTAGGGAAAGATTTAATACTTTCGAAGGAGAGGACATAACCAAAACACTCCCCAGGATAAAATGGTCCACAATCCTGGGGTTTGTGAATAGGTCCAAAAGGTTTATGCAGGACTCGTGAGCCGACCAGGTCCCGGACCTTTTAGGGATGGGGTACGGGCCTACTCAGGCTTTTAACCCCTCGGGTCCTGGTCGCCCGCCCTGTGTAATATATATATGGTCATCGACTCCGGTTTTGTTTGTATGTACACCAGGTTTGCGTTGCCCTGCCAAGAAACCTATTACTTGCAACTGTTGATGAGTTATTTCCCTATAGAATGTTTTTATTTTCAAAAAATACTACGAAATCCTCTAATCCCATTTGTCCAATGTCATTCCTTGTTTCACGTTCTGATCTAAAATGACCTTTGTACACCTTATGCAGAACGGACTTATCGGGTGGCAGTTCTCTTCTTTTACATTGCATGTCCATTTCCATAAATTCCTGTTTTTCTTGTAATTTGCTTAGACGGGCACGACCTCGTACAATCGAAATAAAAGCTTGAAAGTTCAAAACATGATTTTTTTACGAGCGTTCGTAACAACAGAGGTCATACCAACCCTCGATGTGTAGGTGTTACGTATGATTTAGTATATCTGGTCTGA